AGTCCTGGTCCATGCTGTCCCAATATCGGACCACCTCTTCTTTCATTTCAGCAATATTTGTCAGATTTTTCTTATTGACACTTTCCTTCATAAGTCCCCAAACATTTTCTATTGGATTTAGGTCAGGGCTATAGCTTGGCCAATCTAATAATGTCATCTGCGAAAATCACATTGTCCCAGTTAAAATTTCTATGCTGTAAGCACCAGTTCAACCTTCGCTCCTTTTGTTCAGGTTTCATGATCGGTGATGGAATTCCTCGACTTTTCTGCCAACCCATTGCATGCAGCTCAGTTCTAATTGTCTCCTTACAGACAGCCACAGTTCCTCTATCAATCATATCCAGCCATAGTTTTTTCTAAACTCCTTCGTTTGTTTTAGAAACAAGAATACCAAGCCGCCTCCTGTCACCGACAGTCAATTTTCTGGGCCTACCTGCGCCTCCCTGGTGCTCAATGCCATATCCATTTGCAATATTTTTCAAAACACGATAAACAGTGGACAAAAGGATGCCTGTTCTACTTGAAATCACTTTTTAGCTGATCTGTATCCTTGTTATAATACTCTAAAATCAACTTCCTCTTCTCTAAATCATCCATACTTTAGGATCACTGAAAATGTCGTCTGCTAGCAAAGTAAACAAAGGGGATAACTCTTCACAGACTAATGAAAAGGATTAACGGAGTTGTCTCTCTTGAATGAAACCAAGCACTTGATAGCTGGTCAAGGTTTTTATACTAGAAATCCAATTAAACATATTCCTATAATTCTCAATAATTTCTGGTCATGCTATAAGGTATGTTTAGAATAGTATTGGGTGACTTCCCGTCATAATCAGCATTCAAAGATGTGATTGCTTGATTTATATCTAGACAGGGCTGTTTTAAAGGACACTCCCATTTTAATCTTTCAAAACACTGTCCAATTATTCAAGCTGGCACTGTTTACAATATATTGAGTGTTGACCCTTGTGTGTGTCCATTCAGTATTTGTTTGAACCCTTGGCACCATGTATGAATAAGTGAAAACATTAGAATAAATTATGTCCTTGTGATAACTTTCTATTTTGAACATTTTGAGATGGGAAACATCTGAAACACGAAGACAAGACAGTACACTTCAGCTCTTGCCTACAACTGCTATAGTTTGTTAAAGCGTTTTTACTGTTAAACTGTATCATGGGAGTGTGTCCCTTGTTCATTGAAGAATAATTCATTTTATAACTTGGATTACACACATGAGTTTTGAAGACATGTTCAATTTTGTTAATTTCATTTTGAAAAAGTATTAATCTTGAGAGGTAACTATTGTGAGAAGAGTGAATACCAGTTGTGTTACAACACTGCAGGACCCATGAAGGTCTGGGTTAGAATATTGATCTTCAGTAACCCATGCTTGTCGTAAGAGGCGACTAACGGGATCGGGTGGTCAGGCTCGCTGACTTGGTTGACACATGTCACCGGTTCCCAGATGCGCATATCGATGCTCATGCTGCTGATCACTGGATTGTCTGGTCCAGACTCGATTACTTACAGACCGCCGCCATATAGTTGGAATATTGCCGAGTGTCGCGTGAAACTATACTCACTCACTCAATGATTACGTCAACTGAAAGGGGTGGGGTAGTGTTTCCAAAACAAGCTCTTTCAGTAAACATCATGGGTGGAGTCACTTTTACAAGCGATTGTAGTTTCAAATTGCATTTTATGCACATTAATATCTACGTTTGATTCTAGAGGACTTCTGCTTATTCTTGGGGGTACCAACATTAAGAGTCAAACGAAATGGGGGTCGTGAGGCTTCGAAGAATCCGCAACTTAAGAACATGGCGCAGGATTCCTTGGTTTCAATAACGTCAATCTTCTACGCGTAACGAGGGCAGTTGTAACGAGGCCTAACGTAACGTAAAAGAATTGATGGTGTTTCATTAGTGCTCGCGTGTCAATGTATAATTTAGTTGCAGCCTTTACTAAATGTCTAACAGAAAATAACACTTTGAAATAACTAATAGCTATTGTCGGACAATTATTACTTTTGAAACAGTTCTTGTTCAGTAACCATTGACTCGCGCGTTCAAGCAAGTGAATGAAAACGAAAAGCGAATATCGTAATTACAACCAGAAATGTTAGAGGTATTTTCTTTTTCTATATCAGGCGGTTACCCTGTTCGAGGAATGTGTACGTCAATATCAACACATAGGAACAATAGCCCATACATCTGCAGCTGTACTGAGAGGCATGTTAGAAGTCACTTGTCATTGTAAGAGGCGGTGGGGTAGCCAAGCGGTTGAAAACGTCACGCCGGACCCGGGTTTGATTCCACACGTGTACAATGCGTGAAGCCCATCTCTGGTGTCCCCCGCCGTTATCTTGTTGTAATATTACTGAAAGCGGGGTGAAACTAAACTAGTCACTCACTTGTCATTGTAACAATGTCATGTTTAAAAAGATCAGTATTATAACCCGTGTACAAATTCTCAACCCGTAGTTCGTTTCAGCTGTTTCATCGTTGTCATGTCTCATTGGTCAGCTAAGATAGCACACGTAACATCCATGCTGTCGATATCCACGGTTCCTCAAACACATAAAATTAAGTTTGACAACAATGAACAATCAATCAGCATGTTATCGGTGACTTTGAACAAAATATGTAGCTTTTACACAGGCGCTTAGATGTGGGTATATACTCCTCTAGCCCACATATACACACATGTGCAGCAGGAGAGGGTGATCAACGCGCTATCGGATAATCCTTTGACAGAATTTCTTCTCATTTTTGCAACGGACCGTTCCCATTTTGCTGGGCTCTAAAGTGCATATTACACAACATGTAATACATTCACCTTCAACATCAAACCTTTCTATAACCCAGTTTATAATTGAACAAAAGACAAAGTCATCAATATCCCCCGCAATGGCAAAATACTCTTCATGATTATGTCTACGTGTTATGAGTATGTCAAATATTTAGGTGTGTATATAGAAAAGTGGAAGGAGAGTATTGAAAGGTTTTGCTCAGAAAGGAGCACTATCACCAACTTCAGTCGATGTCAAACTTGTTGCCATGGAAATGCCAAACATATTTTATTCAGAAATCCAAAACAACCAAAAAAGGAACTAGTACACCACCAGATCTATGTATGTGCCAAGTTTGGTTAAGAAACATTGAACGGTTTTAGAGTTCTGCTCCGGAAAAGTGCACTACCAAACTGTTTTAGTCAAACTTGTTGCCATGGAAACGCCAAAAATATTTTATTCAGAATTCCAAAACTACCAAAAGAAACCAGTACACCACCAGACCAATCTATGTGCCAAGTTTGGTGAAGAAACATTGAACGGTTTTAGAGTTCTGCTCCGGAAAAGAGTACTGCCACCAATTTCAGGCTTTAAGTCAAAACTTGTTGCCATGGAAACGCCAAAAATATTTTTTTTAAAATCCAAAACTACCAAAAGGCACCAGTACACCACCAGATCTATCTATGTTCGAAGGCTTGATGAAGGAAATAGTGAACGGTTTTAGAGTTCTGCTCGGAAAAGACAAATGTGCACGGAAGGACGAACGGACGCACGGGAGTCCATTTTAATACCCCCGCAAAACGCGTTGCGGGGATAATAATTACACCAGACATGATAAATGCTGCTTCTGATTTGTGTGAAGATTTTACGTGCGCTTTCCAACATGATGCGCATTTCCTGCACGGGACTGTCAGGTCCTTTATCGTTAGATTGAGAAAGGGTTGATGATGCCAGAGTGGGCAACCTGTTGGAGGGGTTAGGGACCGTTCATAATTTATGGGTGGTGGTGATTTTAAGAGGGGTGGTGTCCCACCCATTTTGTTCTGGGGAGGTAGGTAACGGGGGTCATCAATGTTGTACACATGTACTATGGGGTCAGCAATTTTGTACATACAAATATTAAAAAGTAATGCTTAAAAATTATTGGGGTGGGGATGACGGCACTTATTTTGTACATGCTTCTCCATAAAAATATCATCACCCCCTCCACCAGCCATAAATTATGAACGGTCCCTTAGGGTTGTACATTTACTTTTAGTACGAATTTTTGTGGAAGTTTGCCAGAAATGTTGTGGGCTGCTTAAATTACGATTTGACAAACAAAGCGGACAACTTTTTACCTTTACGAATTGTCAGAGAATATTATTCGCAGTTGAGGGAATTCCATTTCGGATTATCTGTCATCTTGCACATGACATTTTAGCGATATTACTAAATATTTCAACTATTCCGATACCTGAAGCCGGGTACACAAATGCTGTGTTTCATGCCGAAGTCGCATTTTTCCCCCACTGTGCCTGGAAATCAATGCTATAATTTGGCGGCCACTGACCATTTCATTCAGATTAGCCGCCTTCTTCTCGACATATTTGTACCTGTTCGTTTCAGTCTGATTATTCTCCTCGCCTCTTACCGCGATTGATCAGTCGTGTGCAGTGTTTTGACACTACTTTCCGTTGATAGGAAACAGACTTTAACAGGGGCGGATTAAGGGCGTATGTATTATTTGTTGTATTGTGTGTTTTTATGAAACTATTGTCGATACCATATGTGGGTTTTTTTGGTTTAATTTAAACGTAAACATTGGTAGCGTATTTTCTTCCAGTTCATTTAGGTATGAATCAAAATGAACATCTGTAATTGTTTTGTAAAAAAATGCTCCATGGATTTATATCATCACACCTCATTTTCTCGATTCACACCTCAATGAGCCAAAATACTTATACAGTCAATCATATTGCATCTAATGCGGGACAAACATTACAATATCCCTCTTCACATGGCAAGCTGATCCAAAAGAACCATGGCAACTAGACTTCAAGTACAATTACACACAGTAACTGAAATTGCTTTCGCAAAGGTCCTGTTTGATAATGAGAGTGTGTATGGAGTGACAGGGCCTAGCTAGAGAATATCAACATTCAAGTCATCAATCTCCATGGTGACACTACAGAACATTTTCAGGAAAAATGCAAACACAGAAAACCTCATTTCATTATTTTTAATATTTTTTTCACAACTTAGTCAGTTTTACCACCAACAGAAGACATAAATTAGATTCAATCAGGGCCTATCAGTATCAGTCAGTAACAGGCCATCAGATAGAATTTTGCAGCACTCTCAATAATAACAAAATGTCGCCGTTATCACCAAGTAACTGTTGTGAGCGTGTATGCTTCCAACACTTGGGCTAAACATATCTGCATTTGGAGCGACCATAGATTCATCACAGAAAGTAGAAGGAGCTAAGGCAATAACCCAAAACTCCAGCAAGAACTGACAATAGCCCGCAAGTTCAAGTAAAATGCGTGCCACGCAACCAGCATTTTATGGCAACCATGGTTTCATTATGAGTAGTCAGAAACCCTAACCCTTGATGCTTGGCCACTAATATCACATATACAATGAAATGTCATAAGATACAGCATAATATTTAGCAAGACAGCCCTTATACATATCAATATTGTCCATATTTCATCTCATACCAAGTCAAAATATTCCAGGAGTCAGCCAACTCGTATTGAAAAAAATATTTCATCCTTGGCATTCTAAAGTCTTTATGCAACACGCCATATTCGGACCAAGAATCATACAAAGGGATTGGCGTACAATATGTGCATCACTAGAATCCATATGGGAAAAGATGGTAACATGCAAAAAAATTATCAGCTGCAAAGCCAGCTTACAAATGCATACATCACAAGGGGCAAAATGGCTCCGTTCAAAATTGCAAGTTTTCAGTACCCATGTCAACACCCCATTCAAATTTTAATTTCTTCAAATGATTTTTTCAACTGTCATCCAAGATGAACATTCTTCTCCTTCATGTTTATGTCAAACAAACCCATTGAAATTCATCACGAAAGGTACAGGCCATAAAAATTACTGAGTCCAATGATGGGATTGAAAACCACAGACCTCATCCGAGGTCTAACGCCTTGTCTTCATGACCAAAGAGGTTATATTTGTCATCTGCGGGGTGACCTTTTGGCCTATTACAGAAGAAACACCAAATAAACTTTTCCCACATAACTTTCAACATTACCAACGCCATCAATCATTTGAACTTTACACCAAGTCCAGAACGGAGCCAGTAGGATGCATCACTGATATATCTCCTATTCTCCTACTAGAGTAAAAACTTGAGGCTATATGCATTAACAGAAACAGAATCTACACAAGGTAAGTAAAATCGGCTCAGCATCAAGGGTTGCGAAAAAAAATATTTAAAAAAAATCAGCTTGTTATTTCTTGGCAAGTGATAAAAAGGTTATTATTGCCAAAATGTCACGAAAAAATGCATTCTTACAACAGAGGCCAAATATGAATGTGAATAGGTGGTACCAGAGTGGATCAGTCATTACCACCACATGGGAACATACATGTTCCAAGTTCCACAACGTGCAAAATGTCATACAATATTTTCAGTTATTGGAATCTATTATAACATGTCATACAGTGTACATAAGATTTCAACTATGTTTGAAAATCAGCCTCAGATTAAAACTTCATGTAATTGATTTGAAAAAGATAACTAAAAAAAAAAAAGCTGCAACATAAACATATAGGCATATCATCAGAAAAAAGTTCCAATTTCCATGAAGAAACAGTGTATATTTAGATCACAGTGTTATAATTGATGTGCCATTGCACTTGGAAAGTTTGCTTTGATGCCTTATCAACCAAACCAGATTTTTCTCTTCAGGCTGAAGATACAATACTACTTTAAACATATATATCTGCTTTTACTAAGTCTGGGCAAATCCACAGAAATTCAAAATACTTTGGAATACAATATTAATATCACCATTCAATAACAAAATATTTTAATGGCACATACAAAGTTCTTTCCATAATGCGCACAATACTGTTATGCTCTTGTAACCTTTAACACATTAAGCAATGGTGTTTATCACCACTGATAATGCATGAAGATTGATCCAGCTTTTGAAGGTGAGTAAACTTGCCTTTATGGACATACCTGTTTGAACAAGACCTCATGTGTAAATTTTGTGTCAGCTTTACAGCACTCGACCACGTCTAACAATACATCATACACTAAAGGCAGCATAAACAACCACTTTGATGGATAGAAATACAGAATGTACAATGCATGTCCTCTTTACAATGTTCTTAATCCTAATCAACGATTCAACATTAAACAATAAAAGTAAGTCATCTTACACTTCTGATTTTTTTTCAGTCACATTTCAGGTCACTGGTCACAGATATGGGGTTCAGGATAACTGCTTAAAGATAACTGCTTAAAGGAGCTTTTTCAGTTAACCAGTCACATGAAGTCCTTCAGTTAACCAGTCACATGAAGTCCTTCAGTTAACCAGTCACATGAAGTCCTTCAGTTAACCAGTCAAATGAAGTCTTTCAGTTAACCAACCAGTCAAATGAAGTATTTTAGTGAACAGCCTCTTAGTAATTAGCCAATCACATGAGGTCAAGTTCTCGCAGGCTGAAAAGGTAGAATACAGGGCATTATTTGAAGTTGTAAGGTATGCATGTTATCTTAGGTTTAAGCCTCTAAGTACACCATGCAAGTAGCGAATTTGAAGCCTCTGTTGAGGGATGCAAGGAGCGGGCATGTGTCTGTCCATGTGTCCAGCTGGCTGCAGATGTTTCAGGTGTTGCTTGTTGAGCTGGCCTGATGATACACACGGCATGGGTTGCTGAACCACACTAAAGACCTGCAACGTGACAACACAAATAACCATAACAATTCAAGCTAGCAATTGTGGGACTGACTGTTGTTAATTCAGTTGTCTGATTTGTCTGCCGTATCTGACTAGCACCTTCAGGTAACAAAAGCCCATGCATGAGGCAAATCTGGGATTCAGATCATTACATTCTGACACTAAGGGAAGTAACTCTACAAAGGGTTCACATGTGCCTCCTCAAGAGTGTGAGCGAGCGAGTGAGTTTAGTTTTACGTCACTTTTAGCAATATTCCAGCAATATCATGGCAGGGGACACCAGAAATGGGCTTCACACATTGTACCCATGTGGAAACTGAACCCTCGTCTTCGGCATGACGAGCGAACGCTTTAACCACTGGGCTACCCAACTGCCCCTGCCTCCTAAAGAGGACTGAGCCAAATATGCAGTACTGATGTAAACGAGTTGTATTTAAAGCTTTACATTGTTTGACACATAGAAAAGATAAAAAAACAAAGGAAGCTACCAGGTGGATTCAGAATGATCCATGTATATTATGATCAGTATGGGTGTGTCTGTTTGGTTTACTTTGAATCATATTTCAGTTATATCACACACTGTCAGCATTGTGTAAACTGATGCAGGTCAAGCACATGTCAAACGTCCACACATGATCCAGTTCATCAATATTCAACACGAGAAACTGACAACATACGAAGTTTTACCTTCCGAAATCTTGTGTGGCTCTGGGTGCTGAACTGTGTTACTTCTGATTGGAGCCTGGAAACCCGGGGGTGGGTTGTGTGTCTGTGGGGGCCACATGCTGGCAGCTGAGAATGACGGGAACTGTTGCACAAATGGAAGTCTGTGATTAGGGCTGGGTGTGTCTACTTCTGTCAACTGGTGGATTGACTTTAGCCAGTGGGGAGCACTCTCTGTATTACCTGAAGAGAGAAAAAGTTGCATTTAAAACTGCGCATGTCTTTAATTCAGGACAATTCTTACAACACATAGAAAACAAAATGACACATGAACAAAAAAATTCAAAGCCAATTTTTGTGGGAGTAACATATAAAACTACTGACGAACATTCAAAACAAGTTGGTAAATGAACACAACATTTAAATTAAATGTATGTCTTTCCACAATACAAATGTGAAATATGGTAGGAGGAGGCAACCAAATCAAAAAAGGTAATGAAAAGTTGCAGCTGCCATCAATGACTAGTCACAGGAATATATGACTGTACAACTCATGGTTTATTATGAACTCAACGATGACTTCAGACTGGTTTATTTAGTCAAGTTCAGTTTTAAATTAAATTTGGAGCCATAATAATTCTGTCATACTACCTCTATTTTCGAAACACAGTAGGTTTATCTCCTAATTATTCAGTTGGGTCTCAAGACAACCATATTGACCGCGAACCAGTGATCTGACGGATACAACCTATAGACAGTCACTGATCCAATGGATTCAACCTATAGACAAACACTGGTACACCAAACCTATTTCTGATCTGACAACTTGATCCACTCGTATGTCAAACTACAACTAGTCCATGAAGTATTATAGGAAGTCATCAAGCACTGTAGGTAACCTGACTGTTTAGGGACCGTTCATAATTCATGGCTAGGGGGGTTGGGGGTGATGATGATTTTTAAGGAGAAGCATGTACAATTTGAATGACCCCCCCTAAAAGTTCTGCACAAAGTAAGTGATCCCCTCAGCATGTCATGTACAAAGTCAATGACGCCCCCTTCCCATATTTTTAAAGCATAATTTTAAAATATTTTTATGCACAAAATTGCCGACACCCCTAGAAACAGGTGTGTAAAAACTGATGACCCCCTGCCTCCCCAGAACAAAATGGGTGACCCCCCCTTCATCATCACTCCCTCTAGCCATACATTATGAACGGTCTCTTATCCTTATCAATTAGAACAACCATAGTGATGTAGGTCTTACACTTTACCACTTGGACAGTGACCCACCTAGATACAATGTTTATGTGACATGAACATGAAGAGAAAACAGGGATTCTAACAAAGATAAATTCCATGCCCAAGGGACACAACTCTGCAGAGAGAGAGAGAGAGAGAGAGAGATACAGACACAGAAAGAGAGTGAGAGTGAGACAGACAGACAGAGAGAGAGAGAGAGAGAGACAGAGAGAGAGAGAGAGAGAGAGAGAGAGAGAGACAGAGAGAGAGAGAGAGAGAGAGAGAGACAGAGAGACAGAGAGAGAGACAGAGACAGAGAGAGAGAGAGAGAGTGAGAGAGAGAGAGAGAGAGACAGACAGACAGAGAGAGAGAGAGAGAGAGAGAGAGAGAGAGAGAGAGAGAGAGAGAGAGAGAGAGAGAGAGAGTGCCATGGAAATGCTTCTTCTGCATTAGTAATGGCAGGTGTTTGCGCTATGTATAATCTACAGTAGTCCGAGTTAGCTTGGCTTTCAAAGACTGTGGTCTAACAGGTATCCAATGAAAGTTGGTAATAGGAACTGAAATATGCAAAATGAGTGTCTTCAAAAATTTGAATTCCAAGTTCCTACTATTCTAATCAAACAGTTATGAATGCATGTCTTGACACTCTGATCAACAGGTCTCTCTATTACCTCAGACGTTTTTGAAATTTCCTCCATAATCTTGTATGCCTCATTCTTCCAGACTAAACTGATATACATTCAAACAAAGCACTCACATTACCTTGATATACTATTGATATAGGTACATTCATTCTCATATACACAGACAACAAATTGGTCATTGAATGAATGGGGTGGAAAAGTCACAGTCACATCAAGATGATCAAGACAATCTGATTTAGTAAAACCCACATAACTTTCACCGACTGTGCAAGCTCAAACCAAAAAAGAGGGGAAGTGCCCACTTGGTGCACAGTAACAATAACCCATATTTCACATAAACAGACTAAGGGCACCAATTATTTCAGGTGTCCTTTATTAAGAGAACACAGAAGCATCTTTAACATTTCAATTATTTTGAATATTTTAGTATTTCAAATGTTATCTTGATCCAACACAGGAGGATTTACTCTCATAACCTCTTTTTAAAATATCTTCTTGTGTCTTCTTCAAATATCAGGTATAGTACAGAGTTGTGAAAGGTGGACCCAATCTTCTAGCGTATGACAGCTGAGAATGGCTATTAAAATTACACAATTAGCAATCTTTGTGAGTGCTCGTTAATGGCATGCATGATGCAATGGGGAGTTAGAGGTTCTGACTGAAACTCAAACGTCCATCATCACTTGACCTTTCTTCTCACATAACACCTGAGCAATTGCAAATGTTCTTGTGGATGGATCAATCACCAAAACAAGGGCGGGTTGACATTACAATTTCAGCACACAAAGTAATAGCTGCCATTTGATACCTTATTGACGCTAGTTAACTTTTAAATTATTTACTTGTTTATTCACATATGGAACTAAACCTCACACTACTACATCAATGCAGCTCACCTAAATATGTATATAAATATGTAATCTGGGCGGGAAGGGAGGAGAAACAATGTCAACTTTCCATTTTAAGTGGTTTCTGAGGATCAGATGGTTACAGAGTAGAAACAATTTTGAGTCGGATTATAAGCAATGTCAAACAAAAAATGTAGAGTATCACAATAAAACAGGCATTGAGTCTCATTACAAACATCAAACATTCCAAGTTTCCCACTTTGACATCATTGACTGAAATCGAACATAAATAACTTTCTCTGTTGTGGCACACACAAAATCTCATATGATTCTCTACCAGAAACTAGGGAGTTATAATTGTTAGAAACAAGTGTAGGACATTTCAGTTTAACTGAAAGATTTCTGAAAAACAATCGACTATAGACACTGGACAAGCAGGACATGACAACAGCTCTTATGACTTTTAGTCAACAGGTTGAAAATCCACTTCAGCAGCTAAATTCACTTTACACAGATAAGCATTACAATTACTGTTATCCAATCTTTAAAATTTTTACTTAGAAAGCAGAGGTGAATTGGGAATGCATGTGGGAATCAGCCCTGCAAACCAACAGTCTAAATATGGCCAAACTACTAGTACTACAATCATTTATGATTATTCAAACATATACCACAACTTTAAACAAGAAATAGTCTAAACAAACTGACAATGACTAAATAAAGCATATGGAGTGGAAAGAATGCCTTTTCAATGTGACTGATTGCATACTGCTCTGATTATCCATTCAGCTATCAATTACTATGACAATCGTTTTTAAAGATTAGAATATTGTCACACTTGTGTTAGCATGTTACAAGGTGTCTGAAAACACAGCAGAGTGATCAACAAACATGAAACTTCTCCAAAGCCAATCAGTTAGCAACACGGAGGGAGCAGTGCCAGCCAACATATGGAATCCATATTAGAATAAGCAAACGAATGGCAGACGTTCTACAGAAGTAGAGAGTATCAGTAGCATATGGTGGTGGTGGTGATGATGATGTCAATGAGATGAACACAGGCTGATGCATATGCAACAAGACATACCATCTTGAATATTCCCTGAAGATAATATAGCAGGGTCATAAGTCAGCCAAGGGCTATCTGACTCTTGTGGTGTGCAGGAATTTGGCCAACCTACGGTAACAGAAATTATGTAAACACAAATAATCTCTAATATTAGCCTACGAGGTTGATTTCATTATGTCGGAAACATTGTCACAAGCAATGCAATTTGTTTCATAATTGTTGGGCTCCTAGGGTCAACAAGCAAGCAGGTGACTTGAAAATTAATACAAAGCTAAAGACAATTAAAAAGGAGTTTGCAACTGAACAACAGGGTACAACTGAATGAAGAGTACGACAAATACACAAACACTGAATAACACATCAATCAAATATTGCTGATGTTTCTGCATCAGCAGCAGGAAGGCTACACCCGATATACAGGCTGTAACATTCACTTTCAGTATTGGCATTACACTGCTTTGATTGCACATTAAATGCCACACAGCAAAAGCAGCACCAACGTTGTGCAAATCATAATGGCTAAACTTCCCAGCTAAGCTGTTCTGTCTTCAGCATAGGCATTAGGTATAGGGATATATTTGTAAGAGAGATAGAGAATCAGTTTTTTTAGCACCTTTTCAAATTTTAGAGGCAGCAAAGAGCTCAGTTATATTATCAGTAATCATGGAAATGTCTCGAAGGCAATCTGTAACAATCAGTAGAATAACTCTGAAGCAATCTGAAAGTGATCTGTTTCAATGCAATAACAATTTAGTCAAGAAATACTTTAAAGACAAAAAATCAATATTCAGAATTTATTTCGTCATACTGACAACGCTAAAAACATTGTGGAGTGAAAGCCTGGAACCTTGTTTTCTAGTTACTACCTACTCCCACCTTCAAGCTCCTAACTAGGTCCCATTTATGTGTACTATGTGCCTGTTCAGACAACTCACTTTTGTGAGAATTTGGAGTTTGTTGTGTTCTTTGCTGTGTGTTGTTACTTGTCTGTGGAAGAGCACCAAAGCTGATGTTGATATTTGGCAACAGTGATCTTAGTTGATTCTGCATGTCCTCCATCTTGAACACATCTGCTTGTTGTTGTTGCTGCAACATCAACCACAACAGAAATAAGCAACAGACAGTTTGCAAACTATTCTTCTCGAACAAAAGGACTTCAGCACAAGGTTACGCCTGGTCACTGGTCCATTTCTGAAACTAGTGAACCTGGTAGTTCATAAATACTCTAGAGAAATAGGGCAAATCTTGAAATTAATGTGCATATGGAGAATGTCCGCAACTTGCTTTAAAAAGAAATACCTATTTATCTGAAACCTATTGGGAGTCTATCATTTACTGATTAGTTTTATAGTTCAAAGTTGGGGCCACTTGCATTAAATTCACAGGTTATTTTAGGTCAGAGGGTGATGGTCATGTCAGTTCTTTTTGACCATTCATTTCATTGATAACAGTTGCTGGCCAATGAATAAAAGTGAAATACTGGTGCTAAAGATTTGGGTTAGAATTGGTCTCCAGTAAGCCATGTTTATCATGAGAGACGACTAACTGGATTGGTGATAATTCTTTCTGACTTGGCTGACGCATGTCATTGTATCCAAACTGTCAAGATCAATGCTAATGCTGTCATTTACTGGATTGTCTGGTCCAGAAGTAATTACTTACAGATAGCCTCCACATACCTTGAATATTGTTGCATGGGCCTTTAACTAACATTCAACCATCAAACCAAACTAAAAATGGGATGTCAATAACAACCGACAGCTCACATGAGTGAGTGAGTGGGTATGCCGCTTTTAGCAATATCACGGCAGGGGACACCAGAAATGGGCTTCACAAGCTCACCTGAGGTTGCATGTGAGTATGTTCTGCAGACATCGCACTACGCCCTGGCAGAGGTCGATCTGGCAAGGAGTTGTGAAATGGGGAGTTCTGTTGTTGTTGTTGCTGTTGGGGATGTTGTTGTGGATGCTGTTGGGGATGCTGTTGTTGCATATGACTGAAACTTTGCTGAGAGTAGCCAGGCAAGAAGTCCATCATTTTGTGATTCGTCATATCTGAAAACACACCTGGTCAATGCCAATCTCATGAAAGACTATGAATAGGAACAATCAAATTGAGCATCTAGGGAATAACTACTTTGTCAGATAATGGATAACAATAGCAATGCAAAATACATCAGAACCAGTGAACGGTTCTTGAGATAGCTTAACATGCAGGTTTACATGCTGAAATCTTCAAAGTGTCGCCATGACCTTGAAAATGAAGTGAAGGTCACCAAAATCAACTGGGCCCTGCACCTTCCCTAGATAAAGCTTGGTATTGAATATGAAGAAATCCAGTGAACGATTCTTGATATAGCTTAACATGCAGGTAAAATGTTAAAGTCCCCTTGTGACCTTGAAATGAAGGTCAAGGTCAACAAACCTGAGTTGCACCTTTCTTATACTGTGATGAAACTAGGTACCAAATATGAAAAGAATCTAGTGAACGGTTCTTAAGATATTCCAATTCGTATTACGTACGTACGTACGGAGCCTAATACTATATCCCCTGCTTGGCGTTAAACGCGCGGGGGGGGATAATAACTTTTTATCACCATCAGATAAACCTACAAATGAGGTTGCTTCAGCAGGAAGGAACTGAGTTTAATATCATTTATGGGCCACTAAAATCCTCAAAAAGCTTACATCAATGTCCTGCAATGTGTCAATGCTCTTTTCAAGAGAAAGTTTCAAGAGAAAATTTCAAATATGGTATGTTTTTTCCAGATGGTCCAGAGAATATTTCGCTCATATGATGACGTGCATGCGTGTTTATGTGTATGTGCGGCTGATTGTACTAGCCCAGACTTAAGCTGGTTATTATAGTGCTAGCCCTATGAGATACCATGCCGCAGTGAAGCATGAATACCCCACTCAGACACATTATACTGACTCCGTGCCGACCAGTCCTTGTTGTACCCATTAATGCCGAGCGCCAGGCAGGGACCAACAAGTACTATATTTTAACGTCTTTTGGTATGACACGGTCGGGGATCGAACCCACGACCTTCCGCTCTCCGGGCGGACGCTCTAACCACTACACCATGGAGGCGGTCACACAGTTAAAGTTATTTCAGAGAGTGAAATACATCTAGAACATCTGGTCATCAACATCAACAGTAGTATACTGTGGTAAAGACAACTGACTGTAAATATGATGTATGATTACAAACGCTATGCAGAATGCTTGGTAAAGGCTGGCATAATATCACCTTTCTTCTTTACAATGTCTAGATGTTATCAGCAGAGAGCTGGGTTACTTGTAGAATAGGGCTGAGACGATACACTATGTCAATACGATACATATCGCGATATTTTACCTGCAATACGATACGTATCGCGATACATACACATTGAAAGAATGACATGGTATCAAGATTAAAAATGATTTTTTTCAAGGTATTTGTGTTTAACAATAACACTATTGTAATAAACAAACAAATTACTCCATAATACTTGCGTATTTTTCTCTAAATAAGTACTGTAACATGTTTAAGATAATAGTGTTTTGAAAAAAAGTTGTGTATCGTTTTGTATTGATACACCAGTTGACGATATGATAGCTGTATCCAACTTAAATGTATCGCGATGCATCGATGAATCGTCCCAGCCCTATTGTAGGATGAGCCATACTAAACTGAATGCTTTATACAGGCATATCAAACAGAAATCCTTGGAGTCTTCAAGCCTACCTTGTCTGAAGAATGGCATCTGTTGTCTGTGTTGAAAGTGCTGTTGTTGCTGCAGCTGCTGTTGCTGCTGCTGTATGTGACTGAGAGAGAAACCAGGGGGTAGACTCCGTGGTTGAGGGGGGGTGGACAGGAGGCATGACCCCTCCCTGCAGACCCACTGACCGACTACTTCCACTGTGGTGGTGCTGCTGCATATTTGTGTAATGGTGTGTTGTTGTGGCTGCTGTACCTTGGAGACCGTTCTCTTTCTCTATCAGATCAGCCAAACCTTTGAAAGACTCATCGCAGGGATCAAAACCTGTTGAAACATGAAATTCATAAAATCAACTCTTAAGAAAAATGTTATAACACTTGTATTTTCATCAATTCATTTTTTTTTACAATACACTGAATCCATATTAGTGAGCAATCAGTTCCAAGTGAAATGCTCAGTTGAGTGTTCTGAGGAGAATAGGAAATGACAATGGGAACACACACTGTATGAAACAGCAACTGCTACCAGGAAGAACTTCAGAAATGTAATTTTCTGAATAAAAATGTAATTTTCTGAATAAAATTGATATTTTATACTTATCCTGACTCATGAGGTCAGCAATTAAGCATGAGTCAGGATAAGGAAAAATTTAAACTATTCCAGATTAACAAATCATGAGTGAGTGAGTATGGTTTTACACCACTTTTAGCAATATTCCAGCAATATCATGGCGGGGACACATTGTACCAGGGGGTGGTAGGGACATAGGAAACGTAGAAAAAGGACTTTACTGAGGAGAGATTAGTGTAGAAATGAGCAATGCGGTTTTTTTCTAAGACCAAAACAATTTATTTGGAACAGACCATGGCTTTATGCAAATTAGTGTGCGACGATATTGTATAACAAAGGACACTTTTTAAATGCCCAATTTGAAATTAGACTGACTGACTGACTGAGTTTAGTTTTACGCCGCTTTTAGCAATATTCCAGCAATATCACGGCGGGGGACACCAGAAATGGGCTTAACACATTGTGCCCATGTGGGGAATCGAACCCGGGCCTTCGGCGTGACGAGCCAACGCTTTAACCACTAGGCTACCCCAACGTCCCCATTTGAAATTAGACGTAGCTTCATTATAAACGATAGCTGATGCCAAAAATAATAACTTTCATGCTGAAACAATATATTAAGGATGTAGCTACCATGGAGTCTCACTGTCACTATAAAAAGAAACAGATAGGAGGGTTCGTCTCAAAAGCAAAACCTGGAGGGGTGTCGCAGATGATCGTTCGGGTCGGGCTTGGGGATAGAGATATCAGCTAAGATAAGATAATCCTTTAGGGCAATTATACTGGGGAAGTACACAGCATGTCATAACAATTTACAAATAATATCCAGTCCTGTCGATCTTTGCGATTGGGTGGTCATGCCACCTATATAGTTTGAGACATGTAATCGATGTGTTTCTATGGTTATCAGGTATCATACACTTTTATATATCTCAACATAAACTTTATGAAAGAAGACACGTAAGATGTTAATCAATAGATGAGACATAGTCAGCACACATGAAAAAGCACAAAATATCCTTGAGATGCCCCCTTGTGCCTGTAGGCAGCACATGCATTTCATGCCAGGTGAGTCGATGGTCCGTCGTCTTACCTGGCTGAGCGACCTAATTGCCATCTATAGTCTGATCTATTGTTTTCAGTAGTAATTCATATTTTTCTAAGTTTTGCCCGATTTTACGAGTAAACATGCTTTTCTGGATATCCTATTACGCATCCCACTGAATGCCAAGTTAGGCCGAAGTGGGTTATTTTCGACATATGCTATTTGCAGTTGTGTAAATTTTAGGGATACTGAGTATCAGCCTAAAAACAGGTTTTTTCTATTTCCGAAAGTACTTTAGTAACAACTTAACTCTCACAGATTACGTCAAAAAACCAGCCATCATGCTTTCTAATCATCCAGAAGGCAATACTTCTGGTTGAAGGAAGTCTGGTCCAAGAGAATTAATTCTGAATTCTATTTAGTGAGTGAGTGAGTGGGTGCGTGAGTGAGTATTCCAGCTATATGGCGGCGGTCTGTAAATAATCGTGTCTGGACCAGACAATCCAGTGATCAACAGCATGAGTATCGATCTGCGTAATTGGGAACTGATGACGTGTGTCAACCAAGTCAGCAAGCCTGACCACAGGCATAGGAACAAGGTACAACTTATTGCAAACAGTAAAAATTCACCTAAATCATCATCTTGAATGTCTTTGCTATTACTGTAAGATGTGTAGTTGGAGGACGATGACTGCCACTCTGAGCTGCTGGACACAGGCAGAGGTTCGGCAGGCTGAGCTGGCGGCGTCACGGACGCTGGGACATCTGCAACAGAAACTCCACAAGTCAAAGGGAGGTAATCAAAGGGAGGTAATCATATACCACCTGTTACCACCAAAATCACATCATGAGTGAGTGAGGGAGTTTGGCATAACACAAACACTGTTAGTATTGAGGTCAACAACTTACAATTCTTTTTTAATGTGGAACAGTAAGGATGACTGTATTACCTGTAGCATTCTGTGGTAAAACTTGAGGCGAAGGCTTGACCAGCTTGTTGCATGGATAAGCTGTGCCACTACCTCCAGCACTGTAGTATGAAAGACCGTTGGCACTGTTCTCAAACATAACAGGTTTCCTGTTAGAGCCAATAGGGGCCACAGGTTGAGACTGAGGGGGAGGTGTAGATTGGGTTCTGGGCATGGGGAAAGAGGGTTGAGAGGGGGAGGATTGTGAGGGCAGGGTTTGGCGAGGCCGGGGCACTGTGGATGCATTGTTCTGAGATATAGTGGGTGGAGCTGGTTCTCTGTCATTAGGTGTGTCTGTCAGTTCTTGGGGCCTGTCTGGTGAATGAGAGCTGCAACAAATTACACAGATCACTAAAATTTGTATGTAATCAATTTTGAAAAACAATCATCCTACTAATATGACACATTTCCTCAAAGTGTCATCCTCGTCTCTCTAATTGCCAAAAGCGGGATAAAACCATACTAACTCCATGTTCTCTGTAATTTTAATTACAACTTTTTCTATGATACAAATATCAATGACAAAACTTCAGTCCAGAACTTGCCCTACTGAATTGGGAAATGTCACATTCATACTAAGAATATGCTACCCCCTGGCACTCAATATTCCTCAATGGTGCAAGAAAGGTTATAGTCTGAGGCTCAAACTTAATAAATCCTACTTGTTCGCTTGTTGTTATTTGTGACCAATCATAAATAGTCTACATATGGAGTAGCTTCAGTTATCTACTAACTACAATCTTGAAAATCCAAAAGCAATAGGAAAACTTTGGTAGCCATTGAAATAATTCCTGTCAACTGCAATAGCTCTAAGTTAGGTAATAAGTGCAATATGTATGTACTATGCTGTCAAGACATCTCCATTGTACATTCAATCAAATGACGTAAACGAGACAATGAAAACAGTGAGTCCAAGTCAGACACACATACCCTCCCCCACCAACTGAAAGTGCTGCCAAGTAGAAGATAATGAGACAAAGGCCCACTGAGGGAACTGAAGTCCATTTACATAAATTTCCTGTAATCCTCAACAAGCATATCTTTTCATTGATGTTTGTCAACTCACTTTATCCGTGTTTCATTGTCTGTATTGGTATTCCTTTTACGGCCATTTCCAACCGCCTTGCTGTGATTGGGAGGTGTGTTTGATCTATTACTATGATTGACTGTACTGTGAGACGGACGATTGCCATTGGGAATCCGTTCCCCTTTGTCCTGCCCCTGTAACGAAGGCCACGCCTCTTTGCTAGTGTTTGTTGGGTGGGGTTGCACTGTGGAAGGGCTAGGCTGAGACTTGGGCTGAGTCTCAACTGCAGGCTCTGGGGGATTTGGTTGGGGGATGTTCACCTGATCAGCAACAGGGGAACTAGATTTCTTTCTACAATGAGAATGGCATATAGTGAATGAATACATTTTGCAAAATCAGCAACGTTTAGGGAGAAGATAAAAATGCAAGACAGAATATCAACATTAGAATGCTCAGCATGGTTCACAAATGTTTGCATCCCTTCATCCTCAATTATCTCCATCTACGGCTTGGCCCGATAATTATATTACCTCCCTTGGTTGGCTTTTTATCCAATCAAGTGTCTACGCTGGGAAGTTGAGCGTACCTATCACAACTCACTTTCGCTTTTTAAATTATCTAACCGATTAAACTTGGCAACACAATAATATATTGTTGCAGAGGTACTCTGAAAGAGGTAGAAGGAGTTTTTGCATATATATTTTTAAGATTCCAGACCTGTTAATTTGTCTGTATGTTTTCCCCAAAAATCTGTGTCGCACTGCAAACAAACTTTCGCGGCTGCAACCGCTATCTTTGTTGATACTGGCAAGCTCAGCTGTAACGGTGGCTTATCTGATTGGCTACTGTGAGAATGCAAAGCCAGCTGAGGGAGGTAAGAAAAACATCGTCTCGAGCCGTAGATGCATCCAGGGTATAGTAGAGATTTATCGGAACAGATACCCTGGAGATTAGCGAGGATGGCAGGGCCCAACTTCCATAGGGAGATCTATTGCAATCAGAGACAATTCAAATTGAAACACTGTCTCCACTTAACTTCAGTAGTTATCAATGGTTTCATTGACATACTACATACAATACATACAATAGATATACTGAACAAAAAGTGTCAGTCATCATGAACATTTGGGATATCTGTGAATATCACAAAGCAGATGGACAAAACCTTCCAAAATCTAATCCCTCCTTGACAGGAAAACACTGACATACCTTGATTTCTTGTTATTTGTTGTATGATTATTGGCCGTATTTTGACTGTTGAGGAACTGTTCTAGCAGTTTTTGCTCATACTCTTGATGCTTACTGAAACGAGAAACAAATCCATCTGTTGTTATAATTGAAAGCCACGGAACTATTGACAGAGGGACAAATGCTTCTCATGACCACATGCACGCACAGCAGACTTTACACTTACAACTAACATGATGAAGGTATGACATACTGGTGATGTTCAACATTACCCATAGTGATTGTGTTAACTTTCAAAACATTTTCACATGCACATATTAACAATTCTCAATGCTTATTTGTCAATGGATGCCATACGTCATACTGCTTCATTGTGGAAAACAATACAATGTCAACTATTTTTCACGAGGTCACAAACAGACCACTATACATCATCTCAACAAAAGGCAGCCTTAATTTAAGTTTGTAGGATTGACATTGTATGTCTTACTATTTTAAAACAAATTAGAACCTAATCGGAATCAGAGATTGTAGGTCCTCAAGAAAGAATGCTCAAATCTCATTGCCAAAGTTTCAGGATTAACACCACTTGTTCACTCGGGACAGGTCATTCATAATTTTTAGAGATAGTGGTTATTTTAAAAGCATACCTCCTAATAAGAGGTACTTTAGATAAAAGCAAAATATTAGTTACAAATATGGAGTTATCAGAGAGCCAGACATGGGATCAATTTGTTTACACCTGACTAGGAAGAACACAATCTTGGCAAAGATTCTTTTAATCTACAAAAGTGTAAAAGTTAAATCAGTTTACATAATAACTGCACAATGAGGATTCCAGATAATAAAATGGGCCCCAGCAATCTTATGCTGTTTGTAAGAGGCAAACAAATGGATCTGTTGATCATGCTTGATTAGGTGTCACTCCAGCCTGATGACATGTATCGTTGCTCACAATTTCAATCACTGACTTATCTGATCCAGAATTATGTTTATTAACTTATCCTTACAGGTCACCTTAATATGACTGAAATACTGTTGAGCATGCTGTATGTGTCATTAAACAACAAACAAAACATAATGACACAGACTTGGCGAGTGTTCTTGTCATTCCGGACATACCCCATTTGCATCTCTTCTTTGGTGAAGCTGGCTGCTTCCTCTCCCAGTTCATGTAAGTACATACAGTCCTGGAAATGTCATCATTATCCTCAATATTCTCATTCGAAATTGTTTCAGAAAAACAACATTCTTTCCTCATCACAGGCCCAGATAATATCAGATAGGAAATTCATCAAAAGTCATCATGACATATAAAAAGCACAAATATATATTGTTAGCTAAAAGACAAATTTAGATGAAAAGCTTAAGATCTCAAGATCTTCAGAGGACAGTGTAAAATACTAAATAATGAGAGACTTTGTGAACATTTCTTATCACTTTCAAGTTCTAGGACAAAACACAAAAAATCTGTTGTTTTATTTCAGTATTCACTTACAGATTTCTGACACTGTGAGCCCCGTAGAAAGTGACTGCAGTACTTTGTAGTACCAAGGGAGGCTTTTAGTGTCCTCCCATCTATGTGGACATTATTTACAGCTAGGATAGCTCTGAGAGCATCATCCGACCGAGTGTAAGTTACATATGCACTTGCACTGGGACCCTGAAACAATTACAAACTTACATCAGTACAGATATTCATGTTATTATCATGTTGACTATGAACATATTGCAACTTCCTTCTACACACTTTGATCATACAACAAGGAAACCAAATGGTGACCCATCTACATCCATAATATGAAATCATCAAAAAATACTGTAGCAAAACCCTTGGAAGATGACTACAAAAATTTCATTCATCATAATACACATGTCAAACTGACTGACTGAGTTTGGTTTTACGGGGGGATCAAGAACTCTGATTGTTAAACAAGGGCACCAGTTGCCTCGGGATATAGAAGACACATGATCTGGGATCTGTCTTGAATGACCAAAATGAATCAAGGAAACTGCAATAGGATATGTCATGATGTGAAATGACAGACACATAGGGGAGGATCCAGATGGGGTGCAGGGGTGAGCTCCCCCACTCTCCCACAAAAAAAAATCCCTGAGGATCATTTCCCCCCCCCAACCTTTGGACTTCATGATTTATGTGCACCCCTCTTCTCCAAAATCCTAGATGCACCCCTGTATATCTAAAGAATACTATTTAGGTAGATCATTAAAACAGTTTAAACTGTTGCAGGAATAACAATATGTTCATCCAAGAATTGTCAAAGAATCTATCTATTACATTGCTGAGAATCTTATTACCAATATTATTATATTATAGGATATTTATATAGTGCACATATCCAGGCAACTAGTGCATGCTCAAGGTGCTGGTATTTTCCCCCTCGATCATTGGATGTCAATCTCAACTGCACATCATATTATCAATATCATATTATCAATCTCATCTCCCTGGGGAGTATACTAATCTTGCAGCCACTAGGTGCACCGAGTTATTGTGGCTTTCTCATCCTAACGATGTATCCATTCACAGCTGGGTGGACTGGGACACATAGTCCCAATACCATGTCCAAGTTCACTGCATGTTGCTGTACCCGCAACTAGGTGTTTGCACGTATTCATGTGGCCACCATCTGGTCATATACCAGTGAATTTGTGGGTTCTTTTAAGTGAAAAGGGTTGTGTACTGTACACTAGGGGGTGTGACAACACTGAAAGTGTCTGCACACAAAGTTGACTCCAAGGTTTTTACAGTGTAACGAGTGAACGCTTTAACCACCTAGACTACCCCACTGCCCTGATAACATAACAGATAAGTTGTTGTTTACATAGATGAGTTGGTTCATACTGATATAAATTCCGTTGTTCAGAACTCTAGGAACCATAATAAACATCACATACATTCCAAGCAAAAGGTAGCAGCAGTACTCACATGGACTTGAGCACCTGCATATGTAGTGCTCTGGTTGATCACAACTTTATGGATTTTCCCGAACTTGCCAAAATACTCATGCTTCTTGAGGACATCTGCCTCAGCGAGTCGCTGGGATAGTCCCACCACAAACACCAAGTTCTTCTGAACCACCCTGGAGACAGAGAGGACACTGTGTCAAGAAACAACATTAGTTGAATTGGGTTTTCTTTGGCCTAGTTTGATTTTGTTGACTCATATCAAGGAAGGAATAGTTAACTTTTAATGATCAACAGTTCATGGTACGGAGCGGAGCACCCATAACGTAGTTAGTCCACTGGCTTCACTCAGAGCAGCTTTACCAACAATCATCTCCTGTGGAAAACATATCTCAAGCAATGTCTTTGTTTCTCTTTTACAACACGTAATATCTATTAAACTTTGAAAAGGAAAAATCCACTACAAAACATACAAAGTATAAGAACTGACATCACCCGTACCTGACATTTGCCAGATGTTTCCTATTCTCTGCAGCTTTCTGTTTTCTCTGAAGGTCCTTCTGGCGCCTCTCTTTCTTGATTCTTGATAACCTGTTACAGAAACAAGAATGAGCGACGACAAAACATAACAACCTGATGAAATTGTTTTTGTCTCTAAATATAATTAAAACAAGTGTTTGCCACTGATATGGCAATGTCCACCGCCGCTAAAGAATGGAATATCAATAACATATTTACTACTTTTCATTTTTTTTGGTCACATACAAGATGCCTAACATGACTGGTGTCTGCACCCAATGTACGCTGTTGACATAATTGAAAACATTGGGTGGAATGTTTTATGAGATATCGCGTGTAAATAAGTTTGAAAAGTGTCTGCGTAATCCCCCAATGTAGACTGTCACCAACTTTAAAGACATTGGATACAACAGTTCATGAGATAGTGCGTTAACAAGAATCGGGACGTACATACGGGACAGACGGCGCTGAATACATAGTCCCCCGTTCCGCGTTGCGGCGGGGGACAATGAACAGATGAATACTATATGAAATTATACATACTCATCTTCTGTGAGAGGTTTGAACTCTGCTGGGTCTTCTGGGTATTGCTGAAGAATAAGACAAAAACATAAAACTACTGAGAGCAAGTTCTGTTAGATACTGCAACAATTTCTAGGCTTGTATAAGACAGCCATTTCACTGAAGAACCAGACAATCAAATAGACTTAACATGAGCAAACCCATCCTCGATAATCTCCAGGGTATCCGTTACAATCACTCTCCACTATACCCTGGATGCATCCACGGCTTATAATTATATACCTCCTTTGGTTGGCTTTTTAATCCAATCAGGTGTCTACACTGGGAAGTTGAGCAAACCAATCACTACTCACTTTCGCTTCTTAAATATCTAACCGTTTAAACTTGGCAACCCAATTGATGCAGAGGTACTCTGAAAGGTGTAGAAGGAGTTCTTTCATATATATTTTCTAAGTTCAGATCTGTCAATTTGTCTGTATTATTTCAAAAAAAATCTGATTGGCACTGCAAACAAACCTTCGCGACTGTGACCGCTATCTTTGTTGACACTGGCAAGCCCGGATGTAACGTCGGCTTAGCTGATTGGCTACTGTGAGAATGCGGAGCCAGCAAAGTGAGGTAATATAATTACCGGGCCAAGCCGTGGATGCATTCAGGGTATAGTGGAGAGTGATCATAATGTATACCCTGGAGATTATCGAGGATGGAGCAAACACTGATGCTGTCACACCTGATTCTGTACATAGGAAACAAACGGGAATGTTGTTATGGGGGAACAAACAGGCAATGGCATAATGTCCTCCCACACAACTTCCTCGTCAAGTTGAGTTTCTGTTGACACCTGTCTGACATCTTCAGCATGTTCAGCTAACGTGACTAGATTTAATATCGTCTGAAACTGTGACACATCATTTAAGAGGTGTATTGCCCAGTGGACCTCACCTTTCTGCAAGCTGGACACAACCCATTTTCATCTGTCCTTATTCTGTGCCAACAGAATCTGCATATCTAAAACAAACACAAAATTCTGTAAAAAACAACAACTAAACACATTATTATAATTATATATACAGTCATGTTTCACTGACCCTTTACATTTACTTTTGACATTCTCTGCCCAATTCCAAAAACTTCTACCAGTGACTAGTCAACAAATGGCACAAGATATTTTCAATATCAAAAGGCACTATTTCACTACTCGACTTACCTACACAGCAGGCTTCATTTTGAAATATTAAAACCAGTTTGAGTAACATCACAACATATCAGTTTATTGTAAGCATGATATCATACCTGCAAAATTTGGTCAAACCTTAACATGAACATTTTGTAACTTACTTGGTATCCACAAGTGCAGGGAAAGAAATTCACATCATCTATTTCCAACAACTCCATGCATAGAGGACACTGAAAACAAGGATTAACACACATATACTAAAACTATTTAATTCTGATTATTGCTTGAGAACAGTATAAGGATTTGTACCAAACACTCACTATTGCACAAATAAAAATGATGTTTCCATCTATGAATTGTATTTACTTTGCTATCTGTCAACTTTTAAGAACAGCCTATGAACAATTTTTGTGTTGTGATGCTATCACTTTGCAGTTACTACCAAGTGAGAGAATGAGTATAGTTTTAAGCCGCAAGACACCAGAAATGGGGTTCACACACTGTACCCATTAACTACAAATAGAAATCCTAGAGTTCTTATGTTGAAAATGTCCATACTAAGTGTAAGCAGCGTGTACTGAAAGGTAAATGGTGATTAAAAAAAATTAAGATAGTAGATGAAAACCTAAGCCACTCTTCTTGATACTAGCGTGCTGTCATCTCATACATCATTGTAAATTGTAATACTTTCAAGTTGATAAATACTTCATGTCATTCAACTGAATGTGCATCATAAACAAGGTATCAACTGTTGTCTGTGAATCATAACTATTAGGGCTGGCTATCATATTGATCATAGATCGATAATCAGTAACTAAATGTTAATCAATTATTGATAACTATCAGAGAAGTAACTTTGAGCAAAATGCCCAAATAGTCTGAATTTACATATTTCATCTCACTGGTGAGTGGTCATATATTTATGCATAGATTACAAACAAAACAGTCTTGAACATAATTTAGAACTTTCTGAGTGAGTGAGTGAGTGAGTTTAGTTTTACGCCACACTCAGCAATATTCCAGCTATATGGAGGCGGTCTGTAAATAATTGAGTCTGGACCAGACAATCCAATGATCAACAGCATGAGCATCGATCTGCGCAATTGGGAACCGATGACACGTGTCAACCAAGTCAGCGAGCCTGACCACCAGATCCCGTTAGTCGCCTCTTACGACAAGCATAGTTGCCTTTAACGACAAGCATGGGTTACTGAAGACCAATTCTAACCCGGGACCTTCACTGGTTAGAACTTTCTGAAGCAGTCCATACTTTGTGTACTGTGCGTATACCGTATGTCAAGTTAATGTACAATATTATCAGTGACACATTTTTCATATTGAGAATCATTCATAATTTTTCCAATCAATGATATTTTCCATTATTGACCTTTTTAGCCAGCCCTAGAAAATAACATATGTTAATGCAGTAAAACCTCACCTCAACTTGCTCTTCTCCGGCCATTGTCAGTTAAAAATCACAGCTTGTAGATAGCACTGGTATGAAATCTACACACAAACAGAAGTTGTCAGATTGTACAATGACACCTGTAACACAGTCTAATATTATATTGAAACAAAGACAAATGTGGGAATTAATCCTGGATAGGAAATGATGAGGACCTTTACCCACGAGGAAAGTGTTTCTCATCATCAACAAGGAACTATGTAATCATGGCTGGTTTCACATCTATCAAGTATTTCTAATGTTTACACAACTGATATGTTCAGAACAGATCCTGACTTGGTTCAATTCACAAATATGATGACTGACTTATTGTACTTTCTTGTGTCAAACTTGCTAAGACATGAAAAAAAAGTTGGATTTTCAAGGCCTTTGAAACAATCAAGAAAGTGATTTGTTCAAAAGACAAACATGCTATGAGAGAAATGAGATATCACCAATTCTGAACAAAAAACTAGATCATTAGTCTCACTATCCCAACCTGAATTGCCAGAATTGCTTAAATCATATCTAAAATAATACATAAATCTAAAATAATACATAAACTACCAAAATCTGAATCCAACTCACTCTTTTCTCAACTTTGTCATATCATCACCAGTCACCCGAGAGCATGTAACTTGCTGTTAATGTGTGTAGGTAGAGTAATCAGCTTGTTGATTACAAGTGACTGGATATAAGTTTTCTAGAAAGTATAACTGGCGATTGTAGCCAGATGAGAGAATTATGCTTGAAGATTACCTAGTTTGGCAGGTGTGGTTGTGTGGACACTTCAAACTGTTCAAGTCCTCAAAGGAATTCTGTGCTTGACGTGACTTGAAAAGTTGGGACTCTCAAATGAGTTTGAATAGTCGGGAATTTGACTAGGACGACACAGTATTACGGGTAAGTGGTACATTGCAATACGCTTTTCAAACTACATGTATTGCAATATTTTTTCTGAGAATTGGTATATTGGGTAAATAACATATTTGAAGTTTTCATGATTATCTTTATGGTTTAAATTAAAATCTACACATACTTTCATTCATTCACAACAAATGTTTTCTTTCGTTATTCAATGACAAAACAGCACATTGCAATATCATGAATTATGTAAAAAAAGAAAATAGAATCCATGACGATGCAACCTAATTTTGAGATTGCAGTTATCAGAACCATAACATATATGTTTAGGGACTTATAATGTAGAAAATAGGATTGACATACAGAATTAGTGTCACTCACAGTCAAACACGTAAGTTCCCAATATATCGCAAAACGAGTACCTGAATCACAATAAATTGCAATATAAATCATTTGCCAATACACAGCCCTAAATTTAACACATCCACTTGGCATGTGTTTAAATGATGATAAATACAGAAGTAATTTATAAGAACAGGAAGATGAGTTCATGACAAATTGGAATTAAACATATCCAAGTTTGACACAGGAAGTTTCTCCTGTCTATCCATGTCTAAGATGTACACTGTATTGTATGAACAATTTTCTGTCTTAAATCTGTCCTGTCATTTTAAAAAATCAGTGTTGTCAATACCACTACAAACTATAATATTACTCCATAATGTTTTCTCAAACCTCAAGACACAATCACAAACCATAATTTCATGCTATTTTACACGTTAGATGTTTGTAACAACGAAAGTAAGTCAATCTGAATTTTAGCCAAGCATATAACAAACATACCATGAGCATGACAAGAAAACCTTGCAGTCAATATTAAAAATCAGAAGACACAACTGTAATCATACTGGCAAAGTTGTAATGAGTGAGTGAGTTCAGTTTTACGCCACACTCAGCAATATTCCAGCTATATGGCAGAGTCTGTAAATAATTGAGTCTGGACCAGACAATTCAGTGGTCAACAGCATGAGCATCGATCTGCGCAACCGGGAGCTGATGACATGTGTCAACCAAGTCAGCGAGCCTGACCACCAGATCCCATTAGTCGCATCTTACGACAAGCATGGGTTACTGAAGATCAATATTCTAACCCAGACCTTCACGGGTCCTGCAGTGTTGTAACACAACTGGTATTCACTCTTCTCACAATAGTTACCTCTCAAGATTAATACTTTTTCAAAATGAAATTAACAAAATTGAGCATGTCTTCAAAACTCAAGTGTGTAATCCAAATTATAAAATGAATTATTCTTCAATGAAAAAGGGACACACTCCCATGATCCAGTTAAACTGTAAAAAACGCTTTAACAAACTATAGCAGTTGTAAGCAAGAGCTGAAGTGTACTGTCTTGTCTTCGTGTTTCAGATGTTTCCCATCTCAAAATGTACAAAATAGAAAGTTGATAAGATAAAACAGAAAAACGTCTGACATGTAGTGAGCAATAGAAACCTGCTCTTTGCTTCTAGTGCTTTGCACTGCAACTAAAGATTGGCATATTGTAATACTGACAAACTGTAAAACACTGAACACACTTAAAATCTACTTTCATACCCAAAACAGCATACATGTTGACAACCCATAGTAATAATATCCCACAAAAAATGGGTACAACATACACATGATACATTACCAGTGCTTGCAATCATATTACCCCTGTTCCATTCAAGAATACTAACAGAGACACTTCAAAGGTTTTCAATATGGAACCAATCTGGGAAGAGTGCACAGTATATTCCAAGAAGTGGAAAACCACAGCGTTTCCAACTCACAGCTAATGTTATACATTGTATAGCTATCACTATGCCTTGCGTAAAGTATGTCCATAAGTTTAACAAAACCATCAAGTGAAAAATGTGACAGAATGTTAGGAAGAAGACATTACACACTTGAGCAGGCAGACTGCAGCAATCCACACATCTGTCAACAGTGGCAACGCCTTCATTTCGAAGGTTTAAAAAATGCAACACAGGTTCATGAAAAGAGTATTTGCTGAACTCTGTGATATTCAAAAACATTTAAGCAAATACTGAAATGTTTACATATGGAACATTTGACGTCTGGCAACTTTCCAATATATAATGATGAAAAGACTTCCAGTTATTTGACCTATCCAATTTCGACTTCGACGGAAGCCCAAGGACGTTTGATTTATCTTGCGCCACGTACCTAGCGGATATGAACGACATATCACATATTCAAACTGTATTGGAAACAGTATTGTTCTTACCCTTTTGCTTTTAAGGAATTATGTTCAATACAACACGACTTACGCCACTAAAATATCTCCGATTCCTACCGGGTTCTGACTACTAGACACAAATTGTTCGTGTGCGCAATCTTTTGCGCAAGCTGCCCGGATGTCTCGCGTGTTTAAAGCTTTTCTCGCGTTGATTCTCGGAGGGAATTCCTCCCTGCTATACCTATCACACATTATGATTGGCTAGATAGGATTACTACGAATATTCTAATTGGTTATTTAAAAATAGGCTTAGAATTTACCCTGTTGACACATGTTAATATTTTGCAACCAAATCCGTGAGAATGTCTTTCAAAAGAGAATCTAATGACGGAAGTTCTCTAAATTCATTAAGGGTTGGTACTACGGGACTTTTATCCAGAGTTCTAAACTATACATGTGTGAATAACTAACAGGTAGCTTTTAATCGAAGGGAAAAAAATCATTATGAGTTGTCGACATAGCACTTGAGAGCTTGTGACACAGTCGAACCTGATCATGACGCACCGATTATGAATGCTATCGTGAAAAAAGCCCGTGGTTTATTTTTAGCACGTGGGCGGAATGTAGTTGTACGGACATTCACTGTAAAAAAAATTCGTCAAAGTGGATGGTGCATATGTGGAAATGCCAATCGTTATTGAAATTTTAATAGACCCGATGATGTTTAGCCTTAAGTAGTTCTAATCACAATGAAAATAAAATCCCAGTAACACTTCCTGATGGATTTCCCCATCTCATCTTTACCCATCAACTTAGCCCATACTGTAGTCTGTAATGATGATTTATGAAGGACAATTATCATCCTGGTAAATGATATTTTGGGACAAATTGTAATCCCCTAATATAATAATTTACCGTAAATATCATGAAACGAATCTTACAGCAATGATAAAAAACACACACACTCATTCTTAAATTTCTAGGAGAAAGTGGGATGAAGCTTTGCATTTATGATAGCATACCTGCCAACTAGGGATGTAACGATACATAAGTTTCATGAATTGATACATATCACAATATCCATGTCACGATTTGATAGTATAACGATACCTATTTTCGTGGCACTATTGCATACTAGTAAATCTTGTTACATTTTGAACATTAATATTTCATATTTTATAATTGTCTATGAAAAGATCAACATTTTTTATTTTCAGAGATTAAAAAGTTCTAATTTCCCATCTTTTTGCATGCAAAATAATCATTCATAACTAACATAAAAAAACATGATACAAGCGCAAAATATAAACAATACATAAACATATTTAAACCGATACTTTCAAAACTAAATAATGATATAGCTTTAAATGTATCATTAATTGTATTGTCTTAGAAAAAGTATCAATGCATCAATGTATCATGGCATCCCTACTGCCAACTGTCAGCATTTTGCGTGAGAATCACACATTTTCATACAAAATCATGCCATCTCAACCACACAGCAAAATCTCATGCATTTCCAAAAAATAGAAGTAAAATATTAAAGCATTTAAAAAGTGCTAAATCCTTTTTCGGATGGGTGTGTGTGTGTGTGTGTGTGTGTTTTCCATCCCCCTATATCCCCTGCCAGGATGTTATCCAGGACCTGACCTGGCTTTCGAACAATCATACCCGTTTGAAACATTTTAGGATGGTAGCCCTGTGATAGTAATGTTCAAACAGTCAATAAAGATGGCAGGAGGACTGGTCCATTTTGTAACACTCAGAATGTTGATTGTAGTTTATCTATCTTTTTTAGTAAATCTTTTCATAGAACATTCAAAATATACTATACCACTTTTGACAGGGATACTTTTAACCTTTCCAACAATGAAAGCTGTATCATATGTCAAATATATACTTCAAATGAATGACATATCTGGTTATCTCTTTCAAATCTTAAGTAGTTTACAATAAAGAAAAGAAAATTTCAGGGCCTGTGGGAGATTATTTTTCTGTAATAAGTATAAAACAAGGAAGTGTAATTGCCTGACTATAGAATGAAATTACCATTTCTTTTCTTGGCTTAACAGCAAAGACGAATCAGGGATCTGCTGGCTGTTGACATCCCTGAAGATGAAGCCACTCTGCTCAGCAATGGAAGGTATCACAACATTGTCTCTCAACACTGTACTTTATACGCACACAATATCTGTTACCATGGAGATCTTGGTTACAGTAGCTCCTCATCTCCCTTTGCTGTTAGTAAGAGGAAACTGTAGTTGATCAGGTTGTCAGCCTTGGTGACTTGCCAACCATTTATAGTTGTAAACGGCAATTTTCTTCAAGGTGTCTGTGTTTTATAATTGTACAGTTCACCTATAAACAGTCTACATTCACCTGTCAACAGTCTACATTCATGGCCCACATGGGTACAATGTGTGAAGCCCATTTCTGGTGTCCCCCGTCGTGATATTGCTGGAATATTGCTAAAAGCGGCGTAAAAGCCAACTCACTCACTCTACATTCATGGGGACTCCATTCACTATGCTAGGTGGAGGAATCAAACTTTGTTCAGTCGTTTCAAATCTTAAACTCAAACTTTAGGTAATTATTTTAAGAATGCAATGTTGTGACATCAAAAAGCAGCAAGACATTGGCAGATGGTACAATATGTGGCAGGGAGGATGTGGAATCCAGGCCAATTCTCAAGATACTAGGTAGCAGAAGTATGTCTGTACAGACACTAGTGTTGGGAATTGGTTAAAATCTCATAATTGATGATTGGTTCATTACAACTGATCAATCATCGAAAATAATTGGTTAGCGTCATTTATTAGATTTTCCTGGTTATGTTTGTTTGCACAAAACATAAAGAAAAAACATGTAGTTCTTTGGGGTTTTTTTGCAAATTGCTTATCTTTAAAGGATGACTAGTATGTTAGGAACATAAATTTCTTGGGGGTCTTTAAGATAAATTCAATCATGACTTGGACGAGCTTGTAGTGGTCATGAAATGTAACAGACAAAACCAACCGTGTGAAAGACATTGTTAATGCAACAAGTGTTCCAGAATTGTTTGTGTTCGATTATGAGAAAACATGATCGATTGCTTGGTCGTTTAGTCACTGCGACCAATCTTCGATTATTTCAATTAATCGGACCACCACTAACTGACACACACAGTATTATTTTAAGGGGTTATTCAGAATATGTTTGTTTAAATATCTTTTGAAATGGAAAGTGTTGTTTATTTGCTCCCTTGAATAACTCATTACAGGTTTTCATGTGTCGTGTGCCATCATAAGCCTGTGTTTGACACAGTCGACATGTTGGCAGTTCACCGCAGTGGGAAGAGACATCAAGCCAGTAAGTACACCAACATTAAGAATGATGTACATCTACCCAACGTCTAGAATGCCAATCAAAGAAGTCATACACCAACATTGTGATGACAAAGAGACAGTACTGTGTATTACAGGCTGTGTCACGAAGGTAACTGTGTCATTGACCATTGTGTGTCAAGACTCCCAGAACAAACGTATCAACGAGGCTCGATTTTAGGAAACTTGGTTGCACCAGACAAAACCAGTTTGCATCCTAGTCCCATAATTCATGGAATGTGTTGGAATGTGTATATAATAATATGTTGATGATGTCAAGCAAATTACACAAAAGGGATTATTGACATAGAGTGGTCATAAAATGTGGTTGGTTGGTCAGGGTTTGAAATACTCCATGGCACGGCAAATACTGAAATGGCATGGATAAAAATGTTCCCGGTGCCCTTATGGCATGCCTAATTTTTTATAGACATAACTCACCTTTAGTCATTTAATCCCCAAAACAAAACACTTATGCAAATGACAAACAAGCAAAAACATTTATTGACCGCCCAGGAAATCACTGTAAAGAAATCTGGTTGTTTTTCCATTTAGAGTGTTGGGAGTACTGATAGTTCGGTTATTGAAGCAGAAATTGTGTATGTTCTTCTGGAACAGAAGATATATCAGTGATAACAGAAAACAGGTTACATTTGTTGTGTACTAACAATAAATTTCAAGAGATCATCATCATTGCTAGTCATTTATTCTAAAAACGTGGGCACACTTGATTTCTGAAAAGCACATTTAAAATATTTTTTTGGTGCCCAAAGGCACACTTAGAAAAAAAAGTATTTCTATCCCTGTTGGTTTATTGTTTAACACCCCACACAGCCATATCCCAGCTGTATGGCGGTGGTTTGTAAATAATCGAGTCTGGACCAGACAGTCAAGTGATCAACAACATGAGCATCAATCAAGCTATGTGAATATGCCCAATAATTTGTGTTGTGTTAGACACAAATTTTGAAGCATTATGACACTTGTCAATAATAGGTTTGATTGGTTGGTTGGTTTGTTGTTTAAAGCCGCACTCAGCAATATTCCAGCTGCGGTCTGTAAATAATCGAGTCTGGACCAGATAATCCAGTGATCAACATCATGAGGATTGATATACATGTTTGATAAAGCTAATCAAGTCCTGCATAGCCGTAACAAACAGACCACAACCATTGACCATGGATGCTCTCTTATGTGTCGTTTTAAAGAGAGAACAGTGAGTGAGTTTGAGTTTAGTTTTACGCCGCACTCAGTAATATTCCAGCTATATAGCGGTGGTCTGTAAATAATTGAATCTGGACCAGACATTCCAGTGATCAACAGCATGAGCAACAATTTGCGCAAATGGGAACCGATGACATGTGTCAACCAAGTCAGCCTGACCACCCAATCCCGTTAGTCGCCTCTTACCACAAACATGGGTTACATGTACACGTTGGTCACCGACTCGGGTTTTGTTGCTGTGACAGGTCTACAGCATCATGAAGAGAAGAAGGCGGAGCTGCAGGAACTGATCAGGAAACGGAGACATGAGGCGTTCATCAAGACAGGATCTAGTGAAATCAAGATTGTAAGTTATAATCTCACACTTTATATTGCTATTGAATATTTAACTCTGATATCTGTTCTCACTGCTCGATGAAGTGAGTGAGTGAGTGAGTTTAGTTTTACGCCGCACTCAGCAATATTCCAGCTATATGGCGGCTGTCTGTAAATAATCAAGTCTGGACCAGACAATCCAGTGATCAACAGCATGAGCAGTGAAGTTGTTGATACAGTTTGTATACCTGTATATTAAGATGTAGATTATGTAATTGTTGTACCACTAATGCGACCTGATTGCGGTCAGAATGTAAATAAAGTTCAGTTCAGACGCCAGTACGTTTAAATATAAACTGCATTTGACCACCTGAAAATGTAACTTGAAACTAATGGTAGAGATTTTGGACCAGATTTCAATTTTGAAGTATAGAAGTATCATATCAAAGAAATATATCACAAGATTAAAAAAAACTTTTATCTATCTCCTGCGGTTACATATTCAGTCTTTGGTGACTGAAAAGGTAAAAAGTGATGTTTGTTGTTTATGAATATTTATATACAGTAGACACAAGAGACGATATGATTAAATCATACATACAGTTTCTTGTAGCTTAGTATGTGTATCATATTAATGGCAACTACTTTATAAACACATCTGGGATACCAACATAGAAGTAGAGGAAGATTCGAGCTAGGTTTTCTGATTCACATCTCTGTTGAAATTCACTGACACACATACAGTCAAATCCCGATGAGTCGAATGCCGGTGTCTCGAATATTATGCATAACTCGAAGTACCTGTCGGTCCCGACCATTCCCTGTTATAATTGTCATCATTTGAATACCGGTTACACAAATTTGTCTCATAAATACACACGATGACTCGAGAAGGAAATTTGGTCCCATGAGATTCAAACAACAGCAATCTTGTATACATTAGCCGAAGTCAGTCAATGAGAAGTTGATTGGTGTAGCAAACTGATCCAATTAACAAACCAGCGCGGCTCACACCTTTCCGCCATTGACGGGTGAGTTCAAAAGGCAGATTAGTGATTTTACGGAAATCACTGTCTGTGCTAATCAGACTGGAACTGATAAGGTGTCCCTATTAGTGATATGGAAATCATTAGATAAACAAATGCTTAGGCGGAGGAATTAGGACTGGATCATCATTTTTTTCTACCCTCATAGACATAACTATGTCTCGAATACATCGATAAGTCGAATTTATTACTTGGTCCCCAGCGATTCGAGACATCGGGATTTGACTGTACATAGAAGTAGAGGAAGATTCGAGCTAGGTTTTCTGAGTCACATCTCTGTTGAAATTCACTGACACACATACATTTTCTAGGAATCATATTTCATTAATATCAGTACCAGGAAGGGTATTGTTACAGGAATATGAATATTCACAGTTTCACATGGTAAAGACATGGGCATTCCAGCTTAGAACAGACTCCCTGCTCATATGAAGTAACAGATGGATCAATGAATGTCAGTCATTATTTTGTGTACGTGTCACCCTGACCTGAAGGGACTGGGCGTTGTTCATCTTAGTCACTGGTTCGTGGGGTCCAGACTCAACCATTTACAAGCTGCTGTCCTTTTGACAGTCCTGCAGTTTGTGGTTAGAGATGAACATCAACAGGGATTCATCTTATCCTGATCCTTTACAAACCTAACCAGTAATGACGCGTAAAGACACATCAGAAAGACTTGAAAATTATGCTGGCCCTCAGGATACCAAGAACACTGGACAAACTGACTCAGGCTAGGTCAAATTTGTATCCCTGTCAGCATTATTTTTTATTCACCATACCAAATCTTGAGTAATTGTTCATTCAATACAGAGCAGACACAGATTCCCGAAAAAATCCATGCCATATATGAAATGCAGTTCAACATTGTTAACTTGAAGTATCACTTAAATTTCACACTGTAAACTTCACTGAAGACAGTGTAACTATATCTCTGAGGTATTTTCATTGACAGGCAAAACAGACTCACTGCTGGGTAGGATGCCAGGTTATGTTTTGTAGGGGTCCACAAATTCAAGTTGTCAAGGTTCCACTTTGATAATAACGTGGAATGATTTTGTCATGGGTATTGATTCTTCCAGGCAAGTGCACACTTCAAGGGCATCGGCAAAATTACACCTTATGATCCGAGAGTTAAAAAGAAAGTGAAGCCTTACGACCGCAAACCAAAGCTGAGCTTATCAACACCACAAGCCACATCACCAAAGACATTACCAGGAAATAGAGCCATGGAGGCAATACAGAATCAGGGCCTACTGAAACATCCTAAGCAGCTTAAAAAAATATTTGAAAGCCCTGACTCTGAATTTGCAGTCAGACCGTACCAAAGAAAATCAGAAATGGTCAGAGGGGATCAAAAGAACATTGTGAATGAGGCGGGGACGGATTCAGAATTGGGATGTAATCATGGACAAAATGGACATGCGGTGAGCCATGCTAGGGGAGTGGGGGTTGAGACATCTGTAGCATTACCCCCTCCTCCTCCCCCCGAGCCTGGGGTGTCAAGCAAAGAGACAAGTACAGTGGCAAGAGAGGAAAAGGATGGAGAAACAGTTCGTTCAGAAAAGAAGGACTTAGCAGAAAAATATTGGCAAATGGCAGGTATGTTTTGAAGCTATTCCAATTTTTATTACCGGTAATTCAATGCCTTAACTTGTCTTTGATATACGGGAACCAAACATTTTTGCATGGTTTACCAAAGCCAAAATTAAATTTAAAGGCCTTAAAACATACAAGCTAAAGATGTGTATTGTATTTTATTTTTTCTAAACAAATTTAGGTGTTTGTACCTATAAATTTGTTTTCTTTGGTCCTGTGTCACAATGTGGAGACATTAAACAATAGCGAATCACCCACAAGCTACAAAGAATTACAAACACTCTGTCCCAGGTAATTGTATTTGGTGAACTTACGGCTTTCATTCACGGAGGAGTTAATCAGTAATTCAGGTTGTCAAGTACATTACTGACATTTTACGAGCATACCGGTACATAAAGCAAAAATTATGAAATGTCAACCCCACAAAGAATCCTCATTGCCTTTTTGTGATGTCATGAACAATAATGCTATGTCATATGTTTCTCAAGTATATAGTACTGAGATGTCATTTGGCTCTAGTTGACCAATCAGAATTGATTGCCACTGAAATGACCTACAAATGCAAATATCGGAAGGTTATTACACATGCTCACTGTATCCTTATGGACAATATTAACCATTTATTTGATCTGTGGTTTCGTAGATCAGGCTGGCGGAAAGACTGGGACGGCAAGTGGATCAGAGATGAAGAGTGTGAGTTTGACTCTGACGAGGAGCCGCCTGACCTGCCTTGATGTTGCAGTGATATGAGATGGTGACAGGAGAGGGATGAACCAAAATTGGACTATGATTTGTCCATTGCAGTATTACTCCAGAGATGTTGGGGTAGCTGAGTGGTTAAAGCGTTTGCTCATCACACTGAAGGCCCGGGTTCGATTCCCCACATGGGTGCAATGTGTAAAGCCCATTTCTGTAGTTCCTGCCGTGATATTGCTGGAATATTGCTAAAAGCGGCATAAAACTAACCTCACTCAGTATTACTGCACTGGGTCAGTGTGACCTTGACCTGCGGATGTTGCGTCAATTTGTGTGTTTAGTCAGCTGATGTCTTCAAGTTGGGAACTGATAGTTTGGAACATTGTACACCTTGCACCTGTATCAACATTCAGTGTGTTATAATGAGGAGATATAAAACATTGACTAATGTGTGGCTGGTGTGTGGAAAGACTATGACAGTATTATTAAACGTTTAAGACTGTTCCTGTGCATGGTTTTACCTTGACTTACTAAAGTGTGGGTCCCATGGACCAATATCAATAAATTTTGCAGGTCCTTGAAGGTAATATGAGGGTAAAGTATTCTAATGGTGTAGTGTACTGTATGTTCAGATAATTACTTCAGAGCCTGGAATGAATCAGTGGTCATGTGGAAAGTGGTTATGAAATAACAGACACGGATAACTACTCTTGATGTGCTGTCGGTACGCCCTAAGTATTTTTGTGTGCGTCTCTCCCCAGACACAGTACTTTGGGTTTTCTGCATCCATTCTCTACAATTGTGCATCTCGTAAAAACCTGCTGTGTGGTATGTAATGTTGGCAAGTCAGTCATAACTAGCAACAGCAAAAAAAGTTTTCAAATTTGCCTGTTCGTGGTGTCAATGGCACAGAGAAGCTATAAGATTGATTTACTTCAGCACAATTGTTCTTTGCCACTGGTTGAGGTTTAAGCTAGGCCCTTCAGAAGGCCTCTGTAATTTGACTGGAAAGTTGTTTTACTGACTAGTTTGTCTGACCGAGACTTGATATATGTAACCCCTTGAATATTGTTGACTGCAGAGTTGAGCAACATGCTTACTCTCATTCACTACATCAAGGCAAAGCATGTTTTCGACCCACAAAACAAACAAACAAAAAAGACACAAAGAGATCTGTACTGTAAGTGGAACATTAACAGGCTATAACAACAATACATAAATTATCACAGATGCACATTTGGTACCTGAACTACCATTGCTGTTTGTAATTCAACACAATATACATATTAGGATCACTGTTTCACATTACAGATGTCAGTACAGATATTTGTGACAAGAACCTTAGAACACATTTAAACCTTAGCTTCCTCACTTCTTTTCTTACAATCAAAGCAACAAAAAGTCCTGAAACAATAATGGTTTACACAAAGATAGGAATTCTGAATATTTGATTCAATTATATATGGAAATACTTATATTAAACCTCATATCTGATGTTGATATGTCTACATGCAGCAGTTTTTAAACCAAATATTAGCATGTGTCAGTGACAATATTGCGAGAAATGTTAAAAGCAGTTACTTATGGAACATGTAACACAAAAACGAAACTCTTTTGTCATGGCAAGTTGTTGCACTGCAATTCCAGTCTTTGCTCTAACTTTTCCTGGTACCAGCTGGAACATGGTGCTTTAAAAACCTTTTTAGTAGATATTAATGTTAATATATAGACTTCCACCAGTTGAGTTTAATAGAACGAACCGAATTTTATTGGAAATGCATTTTTGACTTGTGACTAAAATTGTAAACTGTAACAGACTATGACCTCAGATTTAAGTGGTAATTCCCGACCACTTGAAATTTTTGTCTCAATTGAGAATGTCTCTCAGCGATTTTCTGCTAGATATGTTAAGGGCATACTTATGGAACATGTAACAGAAACACTTTAATTTTATGTCATAGTTGAGCATTTCTGTTAATGTTGACTAAAACAAATAAGCTAAATTGACCTTTGTTTCCGTTTGGTACACATTGGTTCTGACAGATTACTAGCATCAGGAGAAACATAACATTTGGTTTTCCATATAGATATTACTGTGCCCTAGAAATCTATTGCTGGAATGTACGAAAGGTTCCTTCTACAACAGAATATAAACAGACCCATTGACCCCACTACATTTTTAGTTGATAAACCTGATCACCCAGTGTGAGCAAACAGCAAAGTTCAATGACCTTTGATCAGTTGTGACAGAGCAGCAGAACAGACATCTGTCACACTGTAACATGGTCAGATTTATCATGACGAATCTGTACGATCGTGAACTGTGACACCCTGAATAGTATTGGACACAAATTGTATATTCACGCCCTTTACTTATTATTATTACGAATACGTCCCTCTAACACTTGATTGCCTTTTTCTTGAAACTTGCCCCAGTTTATTTAGATTTAAAATATAATTTTCCAAGTCCAAGCGACCATGTTGTCTTTCTTCCTTGTGGTCCACCAAATCGTCATCCACAGGAGTTATCTCCCCAAGTTTGATGTAAAAGGCAGAGACCATACATGCCGATATGTATACCGATAGGTGTATGGTCTCTGTAAAAAGCAATCAAGTGTCAGAGTGAGTGAATGAGTTTAGTTTTATGCCACACTTAGCAATATTCCAGCTATATGGCGGCGGTCTGTAAAAAAGAAGTGTTATCACTGATGATAATGTACAAACTTGTTGAATAAACATGTCATACATGTTGATTAAACACATTCCACTAAGCATTTATCACAGATGCCTTCTCTTTCATAAAATTGGAAACTTAACAATGACTATATACATATGAAATAATGCATTATGTATATACATGTAATATGTAATATATAAATATTCAGGGTATTCAGACAATCAAATTGCCATTCCTATGTCAAACAGAAAAATACAGACAGCACATGACACGATACGTCTATGAATAAAGGCGTCAATCAGTATTTCAACAATCTCCATGGCAACAACGGTGACGTCTGTATCTAACATATCTTATACCATGTGAAGTTAGTTGAATGTGGGTCATGTAACACATGCTTCAAGAAAACAGTGGTAATGTGATAAACAAGACAGCTTTGGTCCAGTTATGTAAAACATTGTCCTCAGACACCTGAAGTCAGGATGACTAAGCCAGATCGCAGTGAAGTCAAGGTTCCACAAATATCTTTTTGACAGGCACAGGAGTAGTGTCATCTAAAAGCTCAATGAGACAGAATATCATGTCCTGATTTATATTTACTGGTATTTTATCCCATGGGCAAATATATGTGTTGAATCCTGGATTTGTTTGGTGGCAGTTGCTTGAGTTTTTACACCGGTCAGTAGAGTGAGGATAATGCCTGTGGTGTCCATTCCTCAAAAACATCCAAGGTGACCAGACACTGCTTGATGAATACATTGGTCAATGAAGATGGTGGTCAGAGAGTACATTGTAATGTATTCATTAGTATAATCTTCTGGGAAACATCTGCGGCGAATCTGGTGACATGGGTTTTGGCAGGGCGTATCGGGTCAGTATTGCTTGACCAGTCAGATGACCGTCTGTTGGACTGACTGCTGAGGGGAAAGGCTGATGGCAAGTCCTCATTGCCTCGGTCAAGGTACTCCAAGATATCCATGGAATTAGTCTGTAAAAGAGACAACAGAGATATAGACACACATTTGTCAGGTAGCATGTGATGGTACAAATAAAATAATTCCTTTTAGAATTTTCAGTGCCACATTCTAGTAAATGTTCTGCTACAGTTATTCAAGAATTGAAAAATAAACACACACCATTATCCTCATTATTGGAATAGATGAAAACATGGCATGTTCTCAAAATATTTGATAAAAAGAACTTTCTGTTACAGTACTAGTTCAATTGTCCAAGTGAGTTGGATTTGAGTGTCAAAGGTTGCAAACGGTCAAGGTTGTCCATACAACCCATTGGAATAGGGCAAGATGGACCCATACTACCTGTGAAACTTCAGAGTATAGTTTCATATGCCCTGTGTATTATCCAATCAAAATTCTTTTAATTTATATGAAGCATAATGAATAGTAAACTGACATCTTAATCCAAGTTACCAAAGCCAGCTGATTTCCCATCAAGGGGTCAATGCGTTAAGACCGTTGCCAGTGTCCACTGTCTGCAGTATTGCTAACAAAGGTGAGGAGGTGAGGTGAAATTGGGTTTAACGTCGTGCTTTAACGTCGTGCTTGAGAATATTTCGCTCATATGACGACATGCATGCATGTGTGTGTATGTGCGGCTGCTTGAACTAGCCCAGACTAAAGCTGGTTTTATAGTGCTAGCCCACTGAGATACCATGCCGCAGTGAAGCATGAATACCCCACTCAGACACATTATACTGACTCCGAGCCAACCAGTCCTTGTTGTACCCATTAATGCCGAGCGCCAGGCAGGGACCAACAAGTACCATATTCTAACGTCTTTTGGTATGACGCGGTCGGGGATCGAACCAACAAAGGTGTGGAACAGACTAAAACCCTATTCAATGACTTTCTACACGCTTAACAAAACTTTGTTGTAATTAGGTCCAGCTAATGTTTGTTTTATCAATAATGGTTAAAGACAAATTTAAGTAAGTGGTAGTTCCAATTTTTGTTTGTTTTTATATGGATGAATATGATAAACATGTCAACAGACCGGATGCAACCAAAACATGAACATAATATACTTACATCAGTTTCCATGATGTCAGTTTGAAGTCTTACATCTGATCCTTGTTCTATACTTGACAAGATGGTCTTCTCAAACCAGAGAGAGTCCTTGTAGAAGTCACCGTGGAATCGAGGCATGTACTGGGGTTCCTCTTGATACTCAGCAATAACAGCCTTCAACAAGCAAGTGAAACAACCAAAACATTTCGAGAGCAAAATCTAAGATTAGCGTAAATGGTAAACCAGGGATCTAGGTAATGTTTGAGTCAGTGAGTATTCGATAGGACACTTATGATTCGCTTATATTCAATGAATCAAATTGTATCTCTTCATGAATTTTATTCATATAATTCAGATTTAATAGAATGAAATATTGTTTATAAAGGGGTGTTTTGCATTTGAACTTATGTTACTCAAAAATGGAATGTATACAAGCCATACAGTAGCGTGACTTGAGTCAGTTTGAAAGGCCTATTTTGTTTCTGTCAACCGAAAAATTATTGTTGACACTTGTGTTGAATAGCTTGTTGGCTTAAAAAAAATATCATTGAAATGTTGCAAGCAAAGCAACTGCAAGACATTTTTTGTAGTTAATTTCCTTTATACTAAGAATAATTTATTCGGGACTATATATTCGTATTCGATACTTTATATTCATGATAGATATCATGTTCACCTCATAGTGTATATATTGCAGCCTTAGATTTTCCTTGTCTGTTATCATTAACATTATCCCCACATGGGTACAATGTGTGAAGCCCATTTCTGGTGTCCCCCGCCGTGATGTTGCTGGAATATTGCTAAAAGCGGCGTAAAACCAAACTCAGTCAGTCAGTCAGTATCATTAACATTGGGTTGCAATAGTTTTCTTTTGTGATACTGAATATGATTTTGCACTACTTGGTTCATTCAATTGGGTACATTCATACCAATAAGTAGAGTGAGTGAGTGAGTGTATGGTATGGTACTCCGCTTTTAGCAATATTCCAGCAATATCACAGCAGGACCAATATGTATAGTTTTCAGAAAATTAGTCTCCTTAAAATTCTGTTTCAGGAGGGTTCAGTCGGCTTAAGTGTCACATCAGCGTTTTTTCCAGAAACAAAAATGCACTAATTTATGCCAAACCCTGTATTTGAAGGGGGGTAGGGGTAGCCTAGTGGTTAAAGCGTTTGCTCGTCACGCTGAAGGCCCAGATTCGATTTCCCAAATGGGTACAATGCAGGGATGGCAACAGGAATATCTATTTTCAGCTGAAAACTTAACATTGTGTCACAGAACTGATCAGTTTTAAATAACATTGGCGGAAAATTAACATCACTGACAATGAAGCACATTTCCGGTGTTCCCTGCTGTGATATTGTTGGAATATTGCTAAAACCGGCATAAAACTGAACTCGTTCACTCACTTGTAATCCAGGATCTGTTTTATTGGGTGTGAGAGGGATCGCTTTATTATCTTGAAACTCTGTAGGTAACTATTTCAATAAAAAGAGGCAGTATGGGTGAAACAGCATCACCCCACTGCTGGACCTGGCATTGTTGGCGATGTCCGGCCAGTATACGTACCTTATGCCGATCATCTTGGCCACTTGTGATCTCCAGAAGAGCTGAAGAATCTATAGTATCTAGTGGACTGTGTCTCGGAACCTCTGTGTGGGAAGGTTCCAGTCCTTTCAGCAACTGATCAAAAATTGGATGTCTTCCTGATGGCATAACCTTCTCGCTGGAATGATGGCTATGAAAACCTGATGACTGAGAATTTGAATTCTGACTCAAAACATCTCTACTGGGAAGCACCTCAGCCATCACTATGTTACAGTTTTCTTTGTTTGACAGGCTTGAGAAGCTGCTATGTTTTCTAGATGCTAAAGCTTTGTCATTTTGTGCCAGAAGATTTAAAGCAGTCAGCGGTTGCTGTTTGATCTGGTTAGGGTTTGTTACAGTACAACTTATTTCCCTCTTCAAGCATAAGTTGTCATTATGTTTAAGAAGGTCAATAGCATTCATGGATGCTGTGTCTGAAGCACCACATATCCCAGCATGAGACCTCAGACTTGTATGCTGAGCTAGGAGGGCCAGATCTCGAACAGATGTAGGTTTGTTGCATGGATGAGTACCACGTAGGATGTCCTCCAGAGAGCTGTGTCCAGGCTGATGTTGATGTGATGCTATAGAGGCTTGACTTTGTCCACACCCATCCACTTTCTCACACACACAGGAGGAAGCTTCTCTGTTTAGGTGGGCCCAAGCTGGTCCACTTGACATGGTTTCCTTTCCACCTGAGTGAGGTGTAAGAGGATTCTCTGAAAGGTAAACCGTGTATCTATGTATTCTACACAAAGTTAAGGACCACTCTATCCTTCTGTATTAGATCTACTATAATTAATCTGTGACAATGCAATTTTTTCAAACTGCTTTACTTAATCTGTCATGCCTTGACAGATTGACCATTGTGATACGAAACAATAGCAAAGTCCTCTTTTATAGCTAATGTGTGTCATAATTAATTACTTAAGGTGCTTATGGCACAGTGTGGTCATTCTTTTAGGTTTCTGACATATATCCTGTTTTGCATGCAAGCAACTCAAAATTATCTGGATACTTTTGCAGAAATACACTGATTATCTGATGCTCTGATACGTTTTGTTACTTAATCTTCCACAGAAAAGTGATAGAACTGAGAGCCCAGTACCTTTACACTTAGGGGTGAAGCTGTCTGCTAGTGATCTGCAAACACTGCCACCACTTGACAACACACACGTCCGAAGTCGGGTGGAGCAAGGTGTCATGGTTCTCAGGGCACTGAAAGTGTTTGGGAGTATAGAAGCATGGCAATGGTTGTCTCGAGATGCAAATAAAAGATTACTGATTTGTTTATAATACAATATCAAATGTATGGATGTAAATATATTCAGAAGCTCTGACAAAATTGTAAGTATCATGTGATTTTAGGTGGCATTCATTTACAATCAACACCTCAGATATCAAATGAGAATGAATCATATACTGAACTAAAATACTGATACACACAGGAACACCAACATCAACAGTAACATCAACATCAACAGTAACACCAACATCAACAGTAACATCAACATCAACAGTAACATCAACAGTAACACCAACATCAACAGTAACACCAACATCAACAGTAACATCAACAGTAACACCAACATCAACAGTAACACCAACATCAACAGTAACATCAACAGTAACATCAACATCAACAGTAACACCAACATCAACAGTAACATCAACATCAACAGTAACATCAACAGTAACATCAACATCAACAGTAACACCAACATCAACAGTAACATCAACATCAACAGTAACACCAACATCAACAGTAACATCAACATCAACAGTAACATCAACAGTAACATCAACATCAACAGTAACACCAACATCAACAGTAACATCAACATCAACAGTAACATCAACAGTAACATCAACATCAACAGTAACACCAACATCAACAGTAACATCAACATCAACACCAACATCAACAGTAACACCAACATCAACAGTAACATCAACAGTAACATCAACATCAACAGTAACACCAACATCAACAGTAATCACATCAACAGTAACATCAACAGTAACATCAACATCAACAGTAACACCAACATCAGTAACATCACATCAACAGTAACACCAACATCAACAGTAACATCAACATCAGTAACATCAAGTAACACCAACATCAACAGTAACACCCATCAACATCAACATCAACAGTAACATCAACATCAACAGTAACATCAACATCAACAGTAACACCAACATCAACAGTAACATCAACATCAACAGTAACACAGTCAACATCAACATCATCATCAACAGTAACACCAACATCAACAGTAACACCAACATCAACAGTAACATCAACAGTAACATCAACAGTAACATCAACACCAACATCAACACATCAACAGTAACATCAACATCAACAGTAACACCAACATCAACAGTAACATCAACGGTCAACAGTAACACCAACAAGCATCAACAGTAACACCAACATCAACAGTAACACCAACATCAACAGTAACACCAACATCAACAGTAACACCAACATCAACAGTAACATCAACAGTAACATCAACAGTAACACCAACATCAACAGGAATCACATCAGTAACACCAGTAACATCAACAGTAACACCAACATCAACATCACCAACATCAACAGTAACACCAGCATCAACAGTAACACCAACATCAACAGGAACACCAACATCAACAGTAACATCATCAACATAAGTAATGATGACACCAACTTGTGTTTCATCTGTTTGTTGAGATCATCACATATTTCTCTGACTGTGTCTGAAACGGAACATTTTTAGAATTTTAACAGTGATATTTTGAGGAACTGCATGGTATGAGTGTGAATATGTGATTGACAAAAGACATTCAAATGAACATTTCACATGAAACTTTATTCCTATATGATTTTGAAAAATAGACTTTGCATTTAGTTAAACCCAGCTTAACTCTGAGGAAGACAGAAACATTCAATGAAACAACTTATGACTGATAGGTTACTTCATCAGTTGTATAATGGACAATGTGCAACTTACAAATTCCTCGGAATATCTTGTGATCTTGGAGCTTTTGCGATAATTCTTGGACTATGTCTTGCATAGGCAGAATCTATGGACAAACAAAAATATTGGATGTATCTGGTTACAGCAACAATATTTGTTAGGTTTCTAACATGGACATCCTTAGATGTGATATTGATTAGGGCTGAAACGGTATACCACGGTATTAGTAGAACCGCTGTATTTTGCCATCGGTTCGGTATACCGTAATGCAATCAAAACATTCGATATTTCTGTTTTCGTACCGTCTTTTTATTAACCTTTTAAAACCTTTTCTAAAAAGTCTAGAAATCGAATCATTTTATCAAAATCTATGCATTTCTTTGCTCCCCGGAAGTAAGTTCTCATATACCAAACCGAAATGGACCGAACCAAAGGCCTTGTACCGCAATACGTAGCGAACCATGGTAAGAGCATACCGTTTCACCCCTAATATTGATCTGTGATATATGTATTGCCTACAAAGTTTATTTTTACCAGTTTTGACATATTTCAAAGATAACCAGACCAATGAACAGAAAAAGACTTCATAACAGTTTTTATAAAATAGATACCCCTGAACTTAAGAAAGTATAAAGGACTCTGTAATTAATAGTATAGACACAGATGTCGCCAGTATCATAATCTAATACAGTGAATTGCATCAACAGCTGAGGAATACTATGTAATTAATTATCTTAGGTTGAAGATTTGACTCCATATAATTGAACCAGCAATTGTACTGACCTCAGGCATATTGTCCAGCTCCATTGAGTTGGGACATGTGGAGATCCCTGTGGATGTGGAGCTGTAGAAACACAACATATCAGAATAAACTTACTACAATGGTGACAATGAAAAATGTACAATGTTTGCAAGGCTTAGACATGTTCTTAGCCCAAAATTATCCTTCATGGCAAGTAAATAATAGTTTGTACTTGCAGTATTTTCACTTGTCTTCTTAAACTTTATAAAGTTTCATTTTCTCCTCTACTCTTTACTATTTTTATTTTAAAGGATACTTACAATAGACATTCTACCATGACACGTTCGGTTTTAAATTAAATTTAGAGCAATTATAATTCCGTTAAACTACCTCTAATTTCAAAGCACAGTAAGCATATCTCCTCAGTATGACATAATTCACAGTCAGTACCATCAACGTTCATCTCCAATCCAACTCACTCAACCGGTAAGAATAGAAGGGAATTTTGAAAATCAGATAAATTCTGATTGTGTATTGACTTTGGGTGCAAGTCATCAAGTCGATTAGGTAAGACTGGATACAGGTTATCAAATATTTGTGTACAAGCCCACCCAGCCAGCTGGGTACAGACACAGATGTGTACAGATTGTCCACGTACCTTTAACACTAGTTTGGAGACCTGCTGTGCTAACACATTTTCTGTTTATTTATTCAAGAGACAGTTGCCATATGTGCCATCTATTTATGATATATTTCCCTCTTATAATTAAAAACATGACATACAAAAATGTTTAAAATGACCCTGCATATTTTATTGAAAATGGAGATATAATTTGATACGACTGAAAGACTGATAATCATAAACTTGCCACATATTGAATTAAGAATTGCAAGTAAGTATATATTCTTCATGCATTCATTTAATGTCAACTCCTTGCCTCAGTGACAGATGCATTTTCTACTAAAGTACTGTCAGAAATAGAAAAAAACTGTTTTTAGGCTGTCACTTTGTATCCCTAAAATTTACACAATTGCAAATAGCATGTGTCGAAATAACCTACATCGGATATCCAGAAAAGCATGTTTACTCGTAAAATTGGGCAAAACTTAGAAAAAACCCGAATGGCTGCTGAAAACAATAGATCAGACTCTGGCATGAAATGCATGTGCTGCCTACAGGCACAAGGGGGCATCTCAAAGATATTTATGCTCTTTTATGTGTGTTGAATATGTTTCATCTATTGATTAACATCTTACATGTCTTTCTTTAATACAGTTTATGTTGAGATATGTAAAAGAGTATGATACCCATAGAAAAGCTTATATCAGCCATCGTATGAAATGTCTCAAAATATATAGGTGGCATGACCACCAGAAGATCGACAGGATTGGATATTATTTGTAGATTGTTATGACATGCCGTTTTCTTACCCAGTTTAATTCGCCTAAAGGATTATTTTATCTTAGCTGATATCTCTATTTCCCCAGTCTGACCTCAACCACCATCTGCGACACCCGCCCTGGTTTTGCTTTTGAGATGACCCCTCCTACCTGTTTCATTTTATAGTGATAGTGAGACTCCATGGTAGCTACATCCCTAATAGTTTCAGTGTTAAAGTTATTGTTTTTTATGTCAGCTATCGTTTATAATGAAGCTAAGTTTAATTACAAAATGGGCATTTAAAAAGTGTCCTTTGTAATACAATATCATCGCACACTAATTTGCATAAGGCCAAGGTCTGTTCCAAATAAGTCACTTTGGACTTAGAAAAACCCACATTGCTCATTTCTGCACTAATCTCTCTCAGTAAAGTCCTTTTTCTACGTTTCCTATCTCCCTACCACTGAGACTGTTGTTATGCCAAACTTAGTTTAACAGATATTTCACACTTTCATATATTAACTACATAAATTGTAGATATAAATGCGAAAAAACATTTTTTTTCTATTTGAGACAGTACTTTACCTGATAGTATGAGGTTTGCCCTGTGTAAGAGTGGAGACTGGTGTGATCTTCTTACTAGAAACAGGCTGGTACAAGACTGCTGCTGAATGGCCAGAAGACACGACTGTACTGCTGAAACAATTCACTGTGATGACATACTATGTATACAACATGAAACTTTCTTGGATGATAACTTCTACATTATTTGTTACAAAGTTTCAAGGGCACTCCTATCATTGTACATTTATGAAGCACAGATGTACAGAAACATGCTTCTGAAATGGCTTAAGCCAAACTGTTTTGAAGACAAGAAGCATTACCAATAGGGCTGCGTAATATAACCGGTTCAGACATGAAAACGATACGTATTGCGATACGCTGATCAAAAACCAGTATTTTGACTTGCATTCGGAAAACTTCGCAACACTCGAAAATCTTCGGATATTTCCTTGTTTCATTTGTGCCAAATATTATTTACATTTCTATTTTGTCATGATTAAAGGTTGTTGTTAAAGCTTAATCAAGCATAGTTATTTTGTTGTGTTTTTGCTCTATAAATCAAGCTTTAACTCGATTATAAGAAGTTTTTTGTTTAAAAATACTTCTTGCAATATATTGCAATACATATCGCAATATATGCTTTCACATCGCAATAATCGCAATATGAAAATTCTCTGCAATTAACCCACCCCTAATTACCAACAACCATCATGATTGTGAACATTATAAATTCAATGAAAAAAACAAATATTATATATATATATATATCATTACACTTACCGTTCACTACAGACTGCCTGTGCATCAACCTCCATGGGGACATCAGAGCTGTCATCAGGGGGAATGTTTAATATCTTCTTCAAGTCGTCTTCAGTTTCCTTCTTTGTAGATTCTGTCAGCTCAATTGGTTCTACGACATTTATTTGAGTTTGTAAAATGCTGTCATAGTACTAGAATTATTTTGAAAAATTGTGATTCATGATTATTTGAATTATAGACCAGCATGATTTTTTACTGTAACAGCCACAGTCAACTCTAGTCATAACAAACACAAAGGGACCACTGATTAGTTCATTATAAAATGTACATGATGGGGCCAGGACAAAATAGTTATATCTCCCACTTTGTTATAAAAGTGATTGTTATACACATTTACTGTGTGTTCAAAGATTCCAAATCAAAAGATTTCAATTTAATATCATACATATTTCAGGAAGAAGAATCATTTATTGCAACAATAATTTCCATTGAGTTATAAGAATCACTTAAATGACATATCAAACCTGCATAAAAATCCACACAAATCTGAGTGAACCATATTCTTGCAAACTCAACAGGGATTTTGCCCTTAAATCTGCAGCTAAACGATGAGGTACTGAACTGTTTGAGAGGCATTCTGAACAGATCAATTTGTACGGAACAGATCGATTGTGAGATGTCAAATTAAGCAAGTGAGAAACAAGAAAGACACTTACTTCGAGATATTGTCTCTGATTTCTTGCTCTTGTTGAACAATCCAAGTCGCTTCTGAAACATTGACCTACCATTTTACCATACAATGAATTTTTCTCAGTGAAGTGAAGAAGTGAATTTTGCTATACTATTGCTGTCTACAATATTTATCTGTTGAATTGATAGATTGTTCATAAATATGCCCCAAATGAATAGTTTGTTTGCAGAGATGGAGAAATTAGTTCTTTCTTGATCAAAAATGCCCAAATGTCAAAGTTTTGTGTTAAAAGTGAAAAGACTTAGTTGTTTAATGTCAATAAACAGTTTGTTGGGTTAAGTTGAAGGAAAATAAAAAGGATTTTTTTCACCTGTACCAATATGCATGGTTTGTGAGTTATTTGGCAAGGTAGTTATTGGTAATATTAAGTCTTAGAGCTCTGCTGGCAAATATGCTGACCATTCTTACATGCATCCAACTTACTGTTAATCTGCCTTGTGTAATAACATTGAAACTGTCATCTCTCTGGCTTAGCCCTTTGGATCTCAATGGCTGAGGACAAATTGAACATACAAAGATTGGACTTTCATACAAAACAAACATCAAAATATTACTGAATAAAAGAATAGTTTCACATCTGTGTAGCTACTACTCCAATAACATCAGTAAATAAGCAGTGACTAACTGTAACCAAATATAACAATAAGCAGATATAGCAAAATCCTCAGCTGGATCATAACATATCTAGAATTTATAAGAGGTGGCAGTAGATATTTAGCATGATAATACATCAAAATGATTGTATTAAATAGAACTTACATAAGATATGTTGTGTGCAGTTTTTAAGTGCTTGTTGACATCAGCTTTACTATCTGAGTCATTCTGAAAATAAACAAAGAATTACAGTGAAAACTGAACATTGTTTTTCACTCTGAAATATATCAAAAGATCTCACAACAGAGATGCCATCCCCAAAGTGTTGCAAATAGTAGTTTTAAGGATTAAAATTAGTAGTTTGACCAGAAAATTAGTGGTCAACTAAATACTTAAAATCATGATGGAATCTGAGAAAGATAATATGACACTAATCAAGAGTGGTGCTTTAATTTCACATACCTCCAACAGCAGATTTGAAAATTATCAGCATTACATTTCTTTTTGTCATCTCTTTTTGTCGAAAACGTATTTAATTGACAAAAATATATTAACACAAACTAATATTACATCATCATAAGTGTCTAAATAATTTTTGAACTGTCAAGATACCTTGCTTGAAACTGATTTAGATCTTGTTTTGTTTCTTTCAGCCCTTGTCTTTCTCCTTCGTTTACGTTGAAGTATTTCATCCTGACTGCCCATACTGGAGTCACTAGCATCTGATGAGTGGCACAACGTGATGAACTGTTTTGGTTTTGTCACATCTGTGATACCTGTGATGTCAGGATGACTTGTATTTACTGCATGGCCCGCTGCTTGGAAATGTCTGCGAAAAACTGAAATTAAAAAAATATATCTAAACATCTTTTCCAAGTTGTCAATGGGTTATGACTACATCTTCATGTTGATTATTTATTCAGTTTGGTTCATGTTGGTAAATATGCCTGAATCATATTACCTAATACATACTGTAATACTGTTCCAGCACCAATGTCCAGAGACCAAAAGTGTTGAATGGATTTGTCATGAAAGATTACCATCTGATCCGAGTTCCGCACTTTCACAAGTGGCGGAAGACATCAGTTTCATTACTTATAACTGAAGTCTGAAGCCCTGATGACTGCATGATAAAACTTAAATTTATCTCAACCACTTGTTTCAATAGAAATTGCATCAACTGTGAAAAAAAATATGCAATGTTGATTTAGAATTGTTTTTATGATACCTGCAAGAATTGATTCTCTTTGTTTCTTTTTCTCGTCTTCTTTTGATGAGATTGGATTCACATATGATGAATGTTTCTTATGCACTTTTCCCATTGACCCATAGCCAACATCTGGATATAGGCATAAATAAAAATATACGACGTTAATCATGGTATAAGTCACAGGTTCGCTAATACATCCACAACTATGTTATGCATACTGTATACTCTCTTACCAAACGCTTGTCAGCACGAATCTCCCTGTGAGTGTGATAGTATAAACACATCATTGCTTTTATCTTCTAGAATATACGGCAGAATTTATCTATTTTTGCTTTGGCATGGAGAAAGCTTAATCTTAATAATTTGGTGTAGTCCTATTATGCTACGCTTTCTTCAGTGTAACATGCTTGACAAGTTTGCCTGAAGTCTGAAGACTGAAGTAATTGAAGTAGCCGGTAAGTCTGGATGTTTTCAGACGATCTACATTTGTCTGTAGATATTTGTTCTCCTGAATTATATTTGCCAGGGATACTTAAGATAAAAGCGACTAAAGTTACACATACCAACCAACCTGAGTAACACCAATGAAGGTTTTGTCAATATTTCTCCGCTTGAGATGTTACTGATTCAAATGTCGCGCGCCTATCAAGTCGCCATTTGCAAAACTAAAAAGTAGGTCAAGCCGCTGTTGGTATTTTACTTCATCGTGAAACCTGTAATTATACAAAACATAAGTTGCAAACGACTTTAGAAAGATTACAGAATGATTGCTGTAATGAAGTATTATATACGCTCTACTCTACATTTCTCTTACATACTATGTGCGGCTTACTGAAGTTGACCAACTGTTGTTATAGCAACGCACGCGGAAATTGGAGCCAGGTGTGAATGGGAGTTCAGCATAGCGGTTCATTTTCACGTTCACACCATGGCGTTAACAGTTATATCCGCAAAATACCCCCCGCAAATTGATGTTACGCGAACACCATTAGCGTATGGAGATCGGGCAATACCAAGACTGGTACAGTTTGCATAGTTTTATCACACTTTCGTGATCTTGTATTTTGTTTATTTCTCACGGCTTCTTGTTTACCAAGTGTTTCTGTAATTTTGTGTCACCATAACAAACATTTGGTTTCATGAAATCTGTTTTGGGGTTTCATTTATGTATGTCACTATTTGCTTAATTCACGGTGATCCACTGATTTTTATTCGATTTATTGGTGCGAAAAATATCAAAAGAAAATGCTACATGAAATATTTCATTTATCTAGAACTACTCATAGTGGTTTACCTAGCTAAATCTTATTATTAGGTTCTGTACCTTCATATTTGTTCACATCAAACTTTTAATATCTATATATGTGTATTCATGATGAATCTAAAAAATGTACTTGACAGTCTTAGTTGAGGGAATTAATTTGAATAGTTTCTCATTATTTTCTTATTTCACTCTGCAGAACCGTGAACTGAATGATGGCACATTGCTTGTTCGTCAGAGAGCTGTCATGTCACTTTGTGATTATCTGCATGACCCAGAGCACATAGCTGAGGCACTTAGATGTGGTGAGAGTTTGTTTCTTATGCAACAGTATTTAGGGACGTGTATGTTTTTGTATTGATACAATTACATATATGATGCCATATACGAAATACAATATATTTCGACAGTATTTTTAGATTTCACAGTTCTGGTGATATTGGCCTTCTCTTGATATACATAATAATGTAGAAACCTTGAATTGAATAATCTTACTACATCACAGGAGTTCCATTTGTGGGGATTACTTTATGATAATAATTAGCCACTGATATAGGGCTGAACTCCACGCTGCTGGGACATGCTCTAAGCACAAACAACATGATGGGCATTAATTATTACCCCAGATAACCCAAGCTGCATGTGAGGTGCTAGAAGGTTAATAATCATATGACTTATACCACCGGGTACCCAGTTTAGCAGCAAACAGTTTCTCTTCCATTTGACTGGCTAATGAAATTCTCATCTCTTGCAAATTCTCCTGGTTGACCAAAATGCATGAGTGTTACAGAAAATTACCTTGGGCCCTTTAAATGTCAAGGTTTCATGTATTGTATTGTGATTCAAGACCTCACATTAACATCGGATTCGTTTCCCCACATTGGTACAATGTGTGAAGCCGCATTTCTGGTGTCCCCCGCCGTGATATTGCTGGAATATTGCTAAAAAGCGGCATAAAACCATACTCACTCACTCACTCACATTAACATCACTATTATTTTTAATAATTTTATAAAAGCGGCATCGTATTGCAATATTTCTTCCACACGTTAGAGGGAGCAAACGTTCTGAATGCTTGATATATTTAACTTAAAATACTTTAATTTCAGTGTAAGGTCTTTCTTATAAAATACATGTAAGTTTAAACACGTAACAGTTGCCTTGCAACTGAAGATCGACCCAAATTTTCAGAAATTCTCATGTTCTTACTGCTGATAAGAGACAGAATTTGTGCAATTGTATTAGGTATACTAACATCATGCAGGAACATGCTTTATGAAACATTTGTGAGTTTTGTATTAAAAACAAACAGTTGCTATAAGAATACAGGCTGATGTGTTTTTGTTTACTTTTCAGGTATCGCTCAGAGTCTAAAGCAACTTTTAGGAGATAGTGACATCACAGTAAGGCAGAAGTCGACAGAGAGTCTATTTGTCATCGCAGGTACGAACTTACGTCCTCTGTACGTGTCTATCACCGTGGCATTGTGTACTGTCTCTTTCAGAGAAATCTTGTAAGATTTGTTACCACTTATGTACTTTGAAAATAATGTATGCAATGTCATAAGAGGTGATAATTGAGAGGGGGGTGCTCATTGCACGTCACTGGATCCATGTTTATATTAATGAGCTTGTCTGGTCCAGGCCTGATTGATAGACATGCCATCATAAAGCTGGGATACTGGGGAGTGTGAAACATTGTTAAATAAGAAGGAAGGAACCACCAAACTTAAATTCATCAATAAATGGTAATATTATCCAGAGCTCCATATAAGATTTAGCTCATGTGGGTACTGTACCCAATGTATTTTTTTGGAGTGGGTAATATGAATGTTGAGTGGGTATTTCATTTTCCGTTACCCACTGCTTTCAAATATGTGCGTATTTCAGTCATTTTACTCACCTAAGTATTATGTCATTGAGTAAGTTTACTAAGCAGGTATGTTCTGCCTTATGTCATACCTAATCAAAACCAACTTAAATATAATGGAAATGATTTCACAAAAATCACTCATCCTGTACTGACAGTACAACACTAGTCCTATACTAACAGTACAACTTGATAGCAATCGATGTCTTTTTCATTACGCAAGCGATTTTTATAAAAATATTCCGTACGCATTTGTTTTAAACTTTTTGCGTATCTAACATTTTAGATGCGTAATTGGTACGCAACAATTATTTTTCAATGCGTAATTGGAAATTTTCTATGCGTATTTTACCCGGATACGCAGCTTATCTGGGCCTCTGATTATCAAATGATTCAGATAGATGATGATGTATAGTACACGTTAATGACCTCATATCTTTACATTGACGAGATACGGTTTTACTCCAGGTCATGCTATCGGCAGGGATGCTTTCCTGGAGCATGGTATCATCATGCCGATATCCAAACTGTTTGATGATAAAGAAGATATTGCCAGGAAGAATGCACACAAAGCTATTGAAATGATATCAGAAACTGCTCCAGGTATGTGCTGCTGGTTTCAGAGTTTGTCTGGTTTTATACTAGTTTACCAACACAGGGGTGGAAATAAATTTAAAATTGCTAGTGACTACTCCGGTACAGTGGCACATGTAAAATCACTTGCCCTGATAATTTTTCCACTATACTGGCAATTTTCTTGTTGATTTTTTAAATAAACAACATAAGTAACATTGGAATATCAACTGGACACCTGTACAGTGTGATATACAAATTTGCTTGCCCGACAGAAAAAAACACTGGACTCAGGCGTCGGGCAATGGGTAATTTCCACCCCTGCAACATCATCATGTTAATTTGATTTATCACATTTCTTTACGAATATATATTAATGTTTAATTCATCCTATGGGGCATGGTAGGCCCTGGTTCAAATGGACTACAAAACATTATGTACCCGATAAAACCGGGTTAGAATGAGCCTTCAGGAACACATGCTTGTCGTGAGAGGCGACTAACGGGATGTGGTGGTCAGGCTCGCTGACTTGGTTGACACGTCATCGTATCCCAATTGCGTAGATCAATGCTCATTCTGTTTATCACTGGATTGTCTGGTTCAGACTTGGTTATTTACAGACCGCTGCCATATAGCTGGAATATTACTGAGTGCAACGTTACACATTAAACAAACAAACAAACAAAACATCAACAGAGTTGCATCCAGTGTGTGAAATAGTTTCCAAATTTTGCTAGCCAGTCGGGCTAGTTATGCCTGAAAGTTACTAGCCCACAAAAAAATTCACTAGCCCGAAATTTGAATGTAAACACAAGTTTCATCATTAAGCTGCTAATATGATGAACATTTATATCAGGTCATAATCTTGCATGATTTTATAAGTGTATTATAACTTAAAAAGTCGGAGAGAGTGATATATATACAAAATGACCCCATGAAACTTCACTAGTCAAATGGGCCAGTGACTGTAGAGATTTACTGGCCCGCCTGGAATTTTACTAGCCATGGGCTAGCAGGCCAGTGGCTATTTTGCACACTGGTTGCATCCCTTGGGCACAACAGAAACCAGTTCTAATCCTGATTCAGCCTGGTTAGGTTTTAGATTTTCAGCACCATACCCATTCTCATCTTTTTGCTAACATCTAAGACCTCTGTCACACTTGGTTTTTCAAACATGTTAAAGAATTTAAATGGAAAACTGTTCTTAGCAGTGTTAAACCCATCCTCGATAATCTCTGATGCATCTACGTCTCGGCCCGATGATTTTATTACCTCCCTTGGCTGGCTTTTTATTCAATCAGGTGTCTACGCTGAGCGTACCAATCACAACTCTGTATGATTTTCCCCAAATTCTGAGTCGCACTGTGAACAAACCTTCATGGCTGCGACCACTATCTTTGTTGACACTGGCAAGCTCGGTTGTAACAGCGTCTTAGCTGATTGGCTACTGTGAGAATGCGGAGCCAGCAAAGGGAGGTAATAAAATTATCGGGCCAAGCCATAGATGCATCCAGGGTACTAGTAGAGATTTATTGGAACGTATATCCTGGAGATTATCGAGGATGTGTTAAACTCAACCCACTCACTTAGCATGTATATGTTTGATAGGTGCTGAGGGTATCGTGACGGGAGATTTAGTTGCTACGTTGGTGAAGAAGTTGCAGTCAGAAGTGGAGGAAATCAAGGTAATTGAGGGCATCTGTAAATCAGCCTACAAAAAATATTATCTTGCCTCACACATAAATATCGTTTTCTGATTGGCTGAGCGCTCTTCTATTATTGTACCCCGCTTACAAGCGAGTAACATTTTCTATGTACCCGCTGGGAATGCCGAACTCATTTGGTACTTCGTAGTAGTGATTCTTTATCTCGAATAACATTGAATCACGTAATGATGTACCGAAATTACCGATGTTTTTCGAATGCAAATCAATGGAAGGGAGATAACTCTAAATTTGTTTTTCCTGTCGTCTTGTTGTGTGGTACTCCATACTATGATCCGATACCCGTGCTTCAAACAGTTCAAGGGCGGTGGGGTAGTCTAGTGGTTAAAGTGTTGGCTCGTCACGCCGAAGACCCGGGTTCGAATCCCCACATGGGTACATTGTGTGAAGCCCATTTGTGGTGTCCCCCGCCGTGATATTGCTGGAGTATTGCTAAAAGCGGCATAAAACCAAACTCAGTCAGTCAGTCAAACAGTTCAAAATTACCATTGAGGTGTTCGGTAAAATAAATACATTGTTCATTGGTCCCTCGGGGCCCGTGGGTTGATGTACCCTCAATGTTTGTTTATGTTCCCTGAGCCCGAAGGGGAGGGGACAACCCATGTCCCCCTCGAGACTAGTGAACAACTTATAATGTATCCTAAAAGTAATTAAGTTTCACTTGAATGACATGAACGACATAGATATTTTCTGAATTTCACTCTCATATTTTAAAGGAGCTGATCTTGGACACCCTGCACTACTGTATGCGTGTAGATACAAAGAAAGCTCTGGCATCTGGCGCCATGGAAACATTTACCCAACTTCTCTCTCATGAGTCCGAGGTGATCCGAGCTAAGGCGGCACGCAGACATCATGGACCTCAGGTAAGAGATGCATCATGTATGTCCGACTCTTGGAATGTGTGATATACTGTCTGGAGTTGAACCATCACGTGACCTGTTTTCCTGAAGACACTATTGATAAAATCAGGGTTCAGCAAGTCCTGGTAGGTAGGTAGGTAGTTAAGGTTTTAGGGCGACCTTGGGCCTTAAAAGGCCTATATGCGCCCAACACTTAACAAACTGTTACATGTATGTTCAGTTACATTACGTCGTACTTCCCCGTTTTAACGAGGAAGTCTAAAACAGCTCTTTGTATGCAACCATACATTAAATTATCGCCAAGTATTGCGTTCATTGAAAAAGTATTTTGGGTTTTGTGTAGCACAGTTTCTTTAAGAGCCTTACGTGGGTTTAGCAAGTCCTGGCTTACTATGCAGAGTTATGTCCCCTTGTATAGTGAGGCTCCTGAATTCTGTTGTTCAGAGACCAGTCAGTTATAGGGCCCGTAAGTAGGTGATGGCAATTCGCAAGACCTTAGTAATCCCGGTGACAAACAACAGACACTTGGTCTGGTCTAGTAAAGTCCTATTTGGCGGTCACGCCATTTAGAACCAGAACTGGTTCTTGAATATACGCTTGTCACCGGAAATCTGGCACCAGAAGTAAGGTGGACCCCATCTTGCATATCGCAAGTTGGCGCACGCAAAGGTGTTGGGATGAGAGGGAATCGAGAGGGTCACTGTAAAGAAAAACCCTCATTTTGGTAGGGTCTTTAAAGTTATAAAATAAAATATTTTCGGCACATTTGTCCATCCAAGTCCTCTAACCTGTCAGTGTGTTTATGTGAAGTCTTTGTTCTAGTGTTCCTCTTGATGGCAAAAACAAAGCAGTGGAAGTAGAGTCTGTCGCTGCCCTCGTCAAGATGCTGAAAGACGCCACGCCGGATGTCCGAGCTAATGCTGCAGGAGCCTTGATGACGTAAGGATATTGAATTATATTCCATTTCATAGCAAAGATCCTGTAAACTCTTTGACGCTTCAATAAGTGTATCAGTGTTTTCAATGCATTATGGGGCGGTGGAGTAGCCAAATGGTTGAAGTATCTGCTCGTGGAGCTGAAGACTTGCGTTCGATTTCCTAGCCCTTTTCTGGTGTCCCTGATGTGATATTGCTGGAATATTGCAAAAAAGCAGATTAAAACTATACTCATCATCATTATCAGCTGCAGCAACATCATTAGCCTGCCTCTCTGTCGCTGAACCACATTATTTTCCAAACTGCCCAGCCCTCCCAGTAATGCTAAAGCCCTAAATGAAGCAAGTCTAGATTTCCCCCCCCCCAACTCACTGGGGCTCCTTTTCAGTTTAAATGGGTTTTATTTGTTACTATCAAAATTACATATATTCAGGGACTAAGCGTTAGTCTACATCATCATCATCATCATCATCATCATCATCATCACCACCACCACCACCACCATCATCATCATCATCATTATCATCATCATCATCAGTGCACTACTTAACACCACTAACACACATGGTTTATTTTGACAGAATAACGATCACAACGAAAGGAAAGTACACAGCTATTAAAGACAATGCTATCCAACAGCTAGTGGAGCTTGTCGAGGATCCCATCAGCGAGGTGCGACTCAACGCTCTGAAGGTAAGTACAGTATCCAGACTGATGTACCATTGACACCCTGACACCACTGAGCCTCCATCCTCCATTATCTCCAGGGTATACGTTCCGATGAATCTCCACTAGTACCCTGGATGCATCTACGGCTCACCCCGATAATTTCATTACCTCCTTTTGCTGGGTCCGCCTTCTTACAGCATTACAACCGAGCTTGCCAGTGTCAACAAGATAGCGGCCGCAGCCGTGAAGGTTTGCTTGCTGTGAGACTCAGATTTAGGGAAATACTCATACAGACAAATTGACAGGTCTGAAACCTTCAAAAAATATATGCAAGAACTCCTTCTACCTCTTTCAGAGTACCTCTGCAACAATTGTGTTGCCATGTTTAATCAGTTAGATAAAAGAAGCAAAAGTGAGTTATGATAAAAGCCTTGTGATTGGTATACTCAACTTCCCTGATAAAAAGCCAGCAAGGCGAGGTAATACAATTATCGGTCCGAGACGTAGATGCATCTTAGGTATTAGTGGAAATTTATCGGAACATATACCCTGGAGATTATCGAGGATGCTGTGTCACCAAATAGGTCATTACAAGACAATATGTAGTGTTAACTATAAAATACATTGCTGCAGGACACGAGTTGAATCAGTGCTAAGCAAAGTTGTCCCCCTTTGTTTTACCAGGATACTGCATATTATGAAAAAATGTTATGATCCTATAAAAGGATATTCTTTTTACATTAAGTGCTTTTGAATTCAAGATACAGTCAAATCCCGATGAGTCGAATACCTGGGGACCAAGTAATAAATTCGACTTGTCGATGTTTTCAAGACATAGGTATGTCTATGAGGGTAGAAGATGATCCAGTCCTAATTCCTCCGCCTAAGCATTTGTTTATCTAATGATTTCCCTATCACTAATAGGGGCACCTTATCAGTTCCAGTCTGATTAGCACTGACAGTGATTTCCGTAAAATCACTAATCTGCCTTTTGGACTCACCCGTCAAAGGCGGAAAGGTGTGAGCCGCGCTGGTTTGTTAATTGGATCAGTTTGCCACACCAATCAACTTCTCATTGACTGACTTCGGCTTACGTATACAAGATTGCTGTTGTTTGAATCTCATGGGACCAAATTTTCTTCTCGAGTCATCGTGTGTATTTATGAGACGAATTCGTGTAACCGGAAATCAAATGATGACAATAACAGGGAATGGTCGGGACCGACAGGTTCTTCGAGTTATGCATAATATTCTGAGACACCGGCATTCCACTCATCGGGATTTGACTGTATACTATTCCCACCTAAAATATATGTAAGATACATTTAGTGATGTGTCTTTTGTGTATGTTATATGTCACTAACTATGCCCCCTTTTTTCCCCTTCCCCCCCAGGCTCTTACCTGTCTGTCAGAGGCCCCCGCGGGGAGGGAGACACTACTCAAACACGTGGATCTGGTGAGTCTACTTTGACATTCTGGCAGCAGTGCTTTGTTTAGTTATAGTGTTTAGTTTACATTGGTCTACACGTGAGTAGTGCATAGTTGAGTCGTGTTTAGGTTTTAAAAAAGGATTTGGGTCTGTGGCAACACTGCGTCATTACAAAGTCCTACACATTTAGTTTTTATTTCCAATTAAAAAAGAATAATTGATAAAAATGCCTCATCTCAAATGCACAACCCTTGCAGGGAAATGCTGCAATACTATAGACAAGATCCAGTATTTTGTGCAATTGCTAGCCTTAGAATGTGCACTACTTAAATGCGCATCTTGTGTCATGGTAATGACGACAGTAGTTTTTTAATTTCTTTTGCACTCCACTCATGTCATTAAAGGCAATATGAAATTTGCAATAAAACATCAGATATGATGGTTTACACATTCAATTCGAATTGTATCCTGAATGCCAGACCTGTTTCATATGCAGAAGGGATGGTAGGGTAGCCTAGTGGTTAAAAGCGTTCACTCGTCACTCCAAAGACCTGGGTTCGATTCCCTACATGGGTGCAATGTGTAAAGTTCATTTCTGGTGTCCCAGACCACGATATTGCTGGAATATTGCTAAAAGCAGCATGAAACCATTCTCACTCACTCATGTTTAGAAATTAAGATTACGTATGGATTTGTCGCATAAAATAAGCAGACTTTGCAATTAGCTGTGCATATGCTTCGTCCTTGATCATTCCTTATAAAACAAATTGTCAAAGATGTCCATACAAACATATGTGCTTCTGCTATTTAAGTACACAGCTGGTTAATTGGTTGTTATGCATAAGTTTATTTTTTGTGCTTATGATAGTGTTTAGTATATATACTGAACATATACACTGGATAGCATGAAGCCTGAAGAGTTATCATGGTGACCACGCGCTGCTTCAAATTGGATGGCTGACTGACTGAGTTTGGTTTTACGCGCTTTTAGCAATATTCCAGCAACATCACAGCAGATTGGATGATGGGTGGTAGGGTGGCCTAGTGGAGAACACCAGACAATGGGCGGCGCAGAAAAACATAATCACTCACCAAATTGTATGCAAAGATACAGTTACCACATTGTACTTATCAAGGAATAATTTTTGTGTGGAAAAAGGTTGGACAAAAATAAGAAAAATTGCCTGCCTGCACGATTTTTCAAAGCCATTCAAGAGAACCAGTATTCTTTTTATTTTGAATTGAACTTTATTGTGTCATGATTAGTTGTGAGTTGTGTTTCAACCCGGAAAATTGTTCCCACCATACATGAATAGAGTTTAACCACTAGGCTACCCAACCGCCTCTTTAAATTGGATGATGGGTGGTAGGGTGGCCTACTGGTTCAAATCAGTGTTAAATCAAATTCTTACGTTCAGTCTCATCACTTAGGTGAAGTTACCTGGGTTCGATTTCACACATGGGTACAATGTATATACGCTTAAGGGTTTCTGACATGGTTACTTTTATATTACACTTATATAAATATTTCCACAAGATGACATAAAATATTGACAAAAACGCTATGTTCAGCGACTGTTTACTCGCTGTGGTGAATAATGCATCCTCCATGTGTAATGCTCGGAAGCGATCATGCAGAAAATAGCATTTGGAATCGTTCTAGTTTTCAAGGTAAAAGTTCAAACAATATTTGCGAATGTTAACTTTCGCGATTTGGTAAGGTGTGTTCTGATTGGTCAATTCAAAAGGTTTAGTCAGACTGGAGTAAAATTGTGCAGCTAAGAAATACTTTGTGAAGCAGTGATTGCTGAAGATGTGCTTAACTGAGTAGACCGTAGCAAGTGGTGCCTAGTTCAGCATCTACTTTAACAGGTGTCAAAATCATTCCTCTTTAATACATGTTTCCATGGTAATGAGAACATCTATGGTCTGAAGCGTGTGTAAAATCACTGCAAGCTGGGTATATCCTGAGATCACACATTCCTTTGTGTTGACTGATCATCAACACCATTATCATGCTTGTCGGATCCATGATGTTGGGGACTAAGTTCAGGTTTTAACATGGCTGCCATTAGAATATTCAGTGAAAGATCTAGGCAGATTTTACGTTGACCTTGGTTTAACCTTTGCAGTCTGATCATACTCACAATTCAGTCTTTCAGACAGTGAAGATTGCTGACATCACCACTGCAAAAAATTCATGTTAAATGAAGAAAACAGCTCGCTGACTTGGTTGAAACATGTCATCGGTTCCCAATTGTGCAGATCGATGGTCATGCTGTTGATCACTGGATTGTGTGGTCCAGACCTCCACCATATAGCTGGAATATTGCTGAGTGCGGCATAAAACTAGACTCATTCACTCACTGACTACTAACATTTTCTGGGGCCTCTTATGTGATTATTTCTGATCAGAATGTCTATCTGAGAAATAACCATACCCATTTAACTTGACCAACATCTCATCTCAGAAAGTAACATATTTTACAGAAAAAACAGTTCCTAAATTATATTCATAAAATATAATAAAAAAAGAGCCCAGAGACTTTCTTCATCTTCAGAAACTGTGGTAATCTAGACTTGCCGCATATCTTATACCTGCATTGGCATGGGCTCGATTTAAGAGATGTTAACCTACTTGCACCAGGTGCAGCCTAAGATAGAAATCCAGTTGCACCAGCCAAATTCTAGTTGCAACGTAGTGTGTTAAAATGTCAGAGGTTTTGGTGCACACAAACATATTTCTGTGATGTAGTACCCATGAAACCATAGCAACACAGAGACACAGCTGATCCCTGTTTACAAGAGCTGTGTATATGTGTATATGGATAGCAATGTTTCGGTGCCATAGCTTTTCAAAATTTAGAAGAAAAATGAGCTGACATATTTATGCTTATAATGTTAGATTTATTGTTGATTTGTTTCTCAAAAAAGTTAGACTAATAACAAGGTTGCACTTTGTGATATTAGGTTGCACCAGTGCAAGGAACAAAGAACTAAATCAAGCCCTGATTGGGTATAATTGTTTCTGGGACTGTATCGCAGACTACCATTTAGCCTGAACACTCTGTTAAGAGCTCACAGTGTGATTTGATGACTGAACCAATGTATTAACCAGAACATAAACAGCTGTTTGCTTATTTCAGATCAAGGCCAGAACAGAGGATGAAATCCCAGCAGTCGTGAAAGCTGCCCAGATCGCTGTCAAAGTCATTACGTGGAAGCCCTAGGATTCATCTAGCCATGTTATGTTCAGATTCAAAACCATTAAGACAGGACATCTCTGAATGTAATGATTATGTCATAAAAAGTCCTTACTTTAAGCTTCATGTCCTGTAAAAGTGTTATACTTTCTGTGGAAATCCTTATTCCGATCATTTTGGAAACAAAATAATTGCAGTTTTTGATTGATTGCATTGTTTTGCTTTTAAAATGAGTTTAAGCAATATTAGATCGTTACATTTTATTGTACCGACTGTGTCTTACGAAGCCTTGTCTGTCTGTTGTATTCCTGGTGGTATTGTATTACATACAATTTGGCCTCTGGAATACAATATTTCCTGTTGCCTTGAACAAAATGAATGGTGAAAATTGTTGTGAGAAGTTGAGGAACTTGCACATATATTTTGTTTATGTACAAATCATATATTCCATAGCTGGTATGATATTGTGAAAGTATTTATTATGTATATATTATATGTACAGTAATATACAACCCTTTGTGAATAAATGTATATCTGTTGAGTGGTTTGTTGAACTGATTGAAAGATTAAAATACACTGAAGGAACAGATTGAAAAAGTCGTCCAGGTAAAAGTTAAAATGCAAAGATATAAGTCTGAAATTCAAAGAATATCCATTTAAAAGATTTAAGCAGTCAAATTAAAAGATTGAACTATGAGTGAGTGAGTTAATTTTACTCCACTTTTAGCAATATTCCAGCAATATCACTACGGGGACACCAGATATGGACTTCACACATTGTACCCATGTGGAGAATCAAACCCGGTCTTCGGTGTGATGAGCTAACACTTTAACCACTAGGCTACCCCACCACCCTGATTAAAATATGAAGCACGTCAAGGTTAAAGTATCCAAACCAGGTTTGGGTAGCCTAGCAGGGGTGGGTACAGCTTTTTGAGAAAGGGGGGGTGCACACTATTGATAAAAGGGAGGGTGCACACTTCATTTTCACCCGAGTTTCAATGGTCATTTAATAAACTTTCAGGACAAAAGAGGGGGTGCGCACGCACACACACACACACACACACACACACACACACACACACACACCCTCTGGATCCGCCTATGCCTAGTGGTTAAAGCGTCTGCTCACACTGAAGATCCGCTTCGATTCCCAACATGTCTGAAGCTCATTTCTTGTGTCCAACCCTCGTTAAATGTCTGGAATAAAGCTAAACTACAATCAATTAATCACTCACGAAACTTGCATAGTGTTAATGCGTTGCCCTACCTATCTGTTGCTTAAACCCGGAAACTGTACTGTGTACAAAAGATAACTCCCACACAACTCTTGTTCAGGATGTCTAGTTAATCCCGTCTTTGTTAGTCCAAGCCCAGCGTATATCGTATATCAGAACATGGTGTATCGTACGATGGAGAATTGTGGTAGTGTTACAATAGGAACTCTCCCAAGCGGATCGTCGTTTTTGAATATTTCTTACCCCCGGAAAAACTCCAAAATATCACTTACGCAATGGTGTTCGCTGGCCCTTTCCTAATGTTTTATTAGATATACTGCGACAAATGACTTCTTTGGCAGGCATTTAGACCGATTGAGTTTAGTTTTACGCCGCTTTTAGCAGTATTCCAGCACTATCACGGCGGGGGACATCAGAAATAGTACCCATGTGGGGAATCGAACCCGGGTCTTCAGCGTGACGAGCGGACGCTTTAACCACTCGGCTATTCCACCGTCCCCGGCAGGCATTTAGAAGTTGTCCCAGAGTATCACGTGATAACGTTGTCCCAACCTACAGCGTAATGTACCCGTGAAGATCAGGGTTACTTTTTGTCTTCAGCAACCCACGTGGTCAGGCTCGCTGACTTGGTTGTCGTCGTATCCCAATTGCGAAGATCGATTTCGTAGATCATGTAAAGATCCGGGTTAGAATTGATCTTCAGTAACCCATACTTGACGTAAAAGGCGACTAACGGGATCGGATGGTCAGCATGATTGACACATCGTATCCCAAATACGTAGATCGATGCTCATGCCAAGTGTGATTGTGTACTGCCCAAAGTCACCGTAGCACCTGTCGTCCCAACTAAACCTGTGCCAGGTGAGTCAATCTAAAAAACTATTTTCTACAAATATTGAAAATTACTCCAGCCTACAACTCACAGTAACTATTTGAACATGAGCACCATAATTTGTGTTCATTAAGATCCGGGTTAGAATTGGTCTTCAGCAACGCATGATTGTCGTAAGAGGCGACTAACGGGATCGGGTGGTCAGGCTCGCTGACTTGGTTGACACATGTCATCGTATCCCATCGCGTAGATCGATGCTCATGTTGATCACTGGATTGTCTGGTCCAGACTCGATTATTTACAGACCGCCGCCATATAGCTGGAACATTGCTGAGTACGGCGTTAAACAACAGTTAAAGTTGTTCATCTATACATCTTACCCTTCCTTATTTAATAACTGCCAATTCGTGATGTAAACTATACTGTTTATCAATCCAAAATACAGTTATGAAACAAAAAGTCAAAGTTGTGTAACCAGTGTTAAGTTTAGATTTGGTTTGTTTCGCAATCGCTTGTCTCAGACTACCCGCGCACTGTCATTACTGTATGGATGTAAGGGCGGTGGGGTAGCCTAGTGGTTAAAGCGTTGGCTCGTCACGCCGAAGACCCGGATTCGAATCCCCACATGGGTACAATGTATGAAGCCCATTTCTGGTGTTCCCCGCCGTGATGTTGCTGGAATATTGCTAAAAGCGGCGTAAAACCAAACTCAGTCAGTCAGTATGGATGTAACATGAGACACGCTGGTGTGGAAGCATTCACAAAACCGGACACACCACGCCGGAACAGAACCAAGTCACAACGGACACTGGGTAGGAACTGTAGTCTAATTTTTGCTTACAGAACTATGGAGGGAAGGAGGGAGTGAGTGAGTTTGGTTTTAGCCGCTTTTAGCAATATTCCTGAATGTCACTGCGGAGGACACCAGACATGGGATTCACGCATTTTCCCCACGAGGGGAATCGTTCACACAACCCACGAGGGGAATCGAACCCGGGTCTTCAGCGTGACGAGCGAACGCTTCAACCACTAGACCACCCCACCCCTTGAAGGGAAGGGGGTAAGGCAGGGCAGCATTTATTCATGTATTTCACGTAGCCACTGTGATGTAAAGCTGGGACGGTCGGTCGGTTGGTTTAAAATATAAAAAAATATAATTACACAAATCTTGATTTCTGTGTACATGTATCTTAATAAGAAAAAAAGTTTAAAACATACTTAGCTTTGATTCAGCTTTATTTTTCCTGCTTGTGTTAAAGAAGAAAACACCTGTGTTAAAAGAAACTAATTAGTTCTGTTTCATCAGGTATTCGGAAAATAAGAACTATGTACTATCCAAGCACGGATCATGTCAGAATTTGCTCGCTCAACCGATCCTTGACGTTGAGGGTGTCTTGGTTTACCGTGCACAATGATCAGATCTATCCAAAGTTTTCTTTTAGTTCAGTGATTACTTGAACTGTGAAGTCAGTCATTTCATGGATTGACTAAAACTGTTCAGGCAATCAGTCTAACTAGAACTCTAATTTTTAGTCATTTGACCAAATGAATGAAACTTTTAGTCTTTTGACCAAATGACTGATCGTTTTAGTCTTTTGACCAAATGACTGAAGTTTGACAGATTGACTGTAACATACACACCAAAATCGTTTGTTGTCAAATTTTGAAACCCATAACAGATACATTGAACGCAAAATCAAAAGAGAACATTTGAATAGATGCGCGCGTGCGTGCGTGTGTGTGTGTGTGTGTGCGTGTGTGCGTGCGTGTGTGTGTGCGGCCCCCCGTCCTGAAAGTTTATTAATGATCATTGATACTCCTGTGAAAACGGGTGAAAATGAACTGTAGAAACCAACCCCATCCCAATCCCATCTATATCCGCCTCTGAATTACGTGAAGCCCTTTCGTGGTGTACCCCGCCGTGATATTGTTTAAATATTGCCTTTTAACTAACGCATATTGTTGGAATATGCACATCTTAATGTTCATTATACGTCATGTCCATAGTCGGCTTAATGGCCAAAAATGTGCATTTATTTCAAACATGTCTCAATTATTGTCATGTTTACACTTTAACATGTTTGAATTTTAAATAAGTTCAACCGGTTTTAATTGTATTCGGGTGTAAAAACCGAACATGATTAAATTCTATCAAGAAGTTGTTTGATTTAAACAACATTAAAACATTCTTAATACATGCATATTTAGATCTAAACATGTCATGTATGTGTTTACATTGTGCATTGTGTGTTACCTGTATACGTATAACAATCACGCGAAATTTAACCCTGTATCGCATCACTTTCAAACAACGTGACAAGGACTCTGTAGAAGCAGACTACTCAAAGTGCTTAAGGAATCCAAACTCTCTACCGATTACTATATAGTTTATCTGTTACCGGTGTCCCTTAACTTCAATGGAGTAGTATGTTTTGTGGTTGAACGTTGTGTTTGAGTGGAAGAGTGAGTGAATCTGCTTTCAACATTGCTGCACCATAACGGAACCATTTTGGCTGTCTGTGGAAACACATTCTACACTGTTGGTAAATCTAGCAGTAAATGATTAGAGAGAATGAGTGAGTTGAACAGTACTTCAATCACGTCTCGGCGTATTGGTTTGATGAGGGAGGAAAGTCCGAATTAATACAGATTGTAGACGTTGAGTGAGTTTAGTTTTACGCCGCACTCAGCAGTATTCCAGCTATATGGCGGCGGTCTGTAAATAATCTAGTGTGGACCAGACAATCCAGTGATCAACGTGGAACTGATGAGACCATAAGCAGGATTTGGTGCTGACAAACTGAACAGCATGATCAGACTCGAACAATAATAACGCGTTTATGGTCCACAAACGGGACGCAACTCTAGCTAGCGAATTGCCTCGCCATGGCCATGAGGGCGACCAGTACCCCTTTAAAGAACAAATAAACTTTGGTATTTTTTACTCTTTTAACCATTACATATGAAAGATTTGTTGTTAGTCTTATGCGGAACACCAAATTCATTCTTATAAAACTTGTGGTTAATCAATACCGAGCGATTAAAAGTTGACAAAAAGTCGCCTGCTTCACTCTCGCCCGCCAACGAAACCACAGACAGGCTACATAACTCTGTCGCCAGAGCACTGCAGTGACGTCATGTGAGGAAGGATTTTCAGTTGTAGTTGTATATAAAGTGTGTAGCAAGCTCGTCATTTTGATGATTTCTCGACATCAACGAAGACATACCGAATCGTTGCTGTTGTCGTCAATTGCTCCTAGGCGTCGGGCAATGGTGTCTCCATGCACAGATTTCCACAGGACCCCACAGTTGGTGCTAAATGGGTTATGTTTGTGAGTGCGAAGCGAGCGTTGTGGAAGCCTGGAACGATATTTTACTTGTGTTCAGATGGCTTCACGGAAGTTAAAGAATCAAAACTACTTACTAGTTGTAGTAAAATATGTATATGATTGATGACCATAAAGATTTTCCATGACACAACTTGTAACATAACGATTTCTGCCTCAGAAGCGAGGTTGTGGTCGAAGTGACAATAATATTGTAAGTAGTATTATACTGACACCCACCTCGCTTCCACGAGAGACATTGTTATGTTATAAGTTATGTCATGCAAAATCCCATTGGCCATCAATCAAATACATATTTTACTACCAGTAAAAAGTAGTTTTGATTGTGTAACTCGGTGAAAACAAACCTAAGTAGCATTTATCCTCAGACTGGCGGATGATCGCGACAGGGCGCCGCCATTTGTGAAAATCGTGAAGTCACGGGCTAAAGTCTGTTAGAATTAATGACATTTTGGTTTGTTTTCATCAAGTTAGAAAAATACTTTCTACTCGTAGTTAAATATGTATTTGAATCATGACCAAAAGGATTTTGCATGACACAACTTGTAACATAACGATTTCTTCCACGGAAGCGAGGTGGGGTTCGAAGTGTATACTGCGCGATAAATTTCTTGCTACATTCACGTCCACTCACCAGTATGTAGATACTAGTCAATGTACGTCTTTATATCAGGCGATCTGCTGATACTTTTAGTGAATTTATAACAGGACTGTAATATCTAGACATTTTATAGTTTGCCAGTGTGAATCATAATTCGCACACACGCCCTAGTGTTGTCTGCCTCATTACACTTCACTTCATTACAAAACAATGATTCTGTTGAATGCTACGACAAATGAATAAAAACAAAATGCAAATATTAAAATTAAAACAGATTAAAGTTATAGGAACAATGTCAGGCTATTACCTTGTTCGAGGAATGTATCCATCAATATCCACAAAAACGAGTGATATGCCATTCATCTGCAGCTGTTCCAAGTGATGTGTCTTTTAACAGTCTAATATACGAAGAAGTGATATATCGTTTCAGGTATTTCACATTGGTGTATAGTCTCATTGGTCACCCAAGATAGCACACCTGGCAACTAATTGCATAATGTCCGCCATTCTTTAAATAAAAAGTAATTTAGTTAATAATTTAATGAGCAATCAATCAATGTATTGGTGGTTAATCCTTTGAAAGAAGGACGTTGTTTTTTACACAGACACAGACACGACAGTGTGTTTTCAGTGGAGATTAGTAAATCTACATACATAAACACTACTTTCTGACAAATCTGCTGTGCAAGATAAAAGTAATTAATCAATCAGCGTGTTATTGGTTAATCCTTTGATCGATGTTTATAATGTTGAGTATTTACTCCAGACACAAGACATGCCAAATGGGAACCCTTGTCGGGTAATCTAAGTGGTGTTACCACTAATTATACCTGATATAAATTCATTAACTGACCATCAATCTGTTTCACACGAAAATATAAAATGTGGAAAGAATGTCCAATCTCACGAGTCTTACAAACCACATACACATTTATAATGCCGACATGAACATAATTAGAGAGAACCTGGAATTTGACCCTTCGATCAACAGATCCCTTGACAAATAAGGGCAGCAACTCTGCACACCGTCTTCACATCAACACTATTCACTTAAAATATTTTAAATTGGAGAACACGAAACTGCTGTTATGGATATTGTACCATAATAATGGAAAATTTTTTTTTTAAAAAGATAATTAGAGAGAACCTGTAATTCGAACATACGATCAGCACATCCCTTGGCAATTAAGGGCGACAACTCTACACACCGTACATCGACGGCCACTGTTGTAGTTGGTCATCAGAGCGTGAAAGGAGGATGTGATTGTGCAGGATTTACCCATGTTATTGTTCACTCTGTGTCATGATCTGTTTGTTCAAAAATGAAAATCGGAGCCGCCAAGTGAACATACTAAACAACCCATTCATTATATATTCAACCCCACAACCTCATTACTAAGTGTTTAGCGCATGATAAGGCACTTCTCAGAAAAGTCCAGTCACAAACTCTCCGATTACGTCTTGTGGGATTGCTCGTCCAGGTGTACAAAGAGGAAGTAGTTAAATGAGCTACAGATAAGCACCTGTTGACAGCTTTAACTGTTGACAACTAACCCAACCGGTTCTCTACCACAACGTGACAATTTGACCATATGTGGCATGATGGCGTATTTTAACCTCTTTTTCACATATTTTAGTTGCGAAAACAAGGCGAAACCACGAAATAGTTTCACCTCGTCGCACATTGTCGCCCTTTGGTGAAATAACAATGTTATTTAGCACGACAATGGGACAAACAGACATGCGACAAATGGCCGAAATGTCGCGTTGTCTCATTGTTGCGGTTTGGTATAGCGTGACCGTTATTGGTTGTGTTTGCTGGGGCGATAACGGAACAATGTCACTTCTTGGATTGAATAGAATCTCGTTACCAAAAAGGCCCTTAATAACCGTTGCATTATGTGACTGGCCGAACTAGCTACCTGCCCCTTTGGCTGGAGCGGTGTTCATGATATTAACCACTGGTTCGTCTGGCTCAGTCTCGATATTTTACATTCGGCTTAAATATAGGGGAACTATTTCTCAATCACGAACATGTCTTACTCGAGTACACTGACAATTTATGATATTTTGATAAAATCACACTTGGAATTCTGTGTATGAGTGTGTGTGTGTGTGCGTGCGTGCGTGTGCGTATGTGCGCATGCGCGCGTGCCGGCGGGACTTGCCTGTGTACGTCCCTTCTTCTGACTGAATAATCAGAACCATCACTAGGACCAGGACCTGCACCAACCCACCTCCCAGTAACGGTGGACTGGATTGTCAAGGCTCGAACACAGAGACGGTTTCAGAGGCATGCAACGATGGTGGATGTCCAGGTAAGGTTCTATTCAGCTTGACACCATGTATGTAAGACGAAACACATGTACTGAATCATATGAATATTGACGTACACCATCATTAATCAAGGATTATAAACATACGTTTATCTCTTAGACAATGACGCGAAAAATATGTTGTTACAGTGAACGGAAACTGGAGTGAATGGGTGGAAACTTCAACTGCGTGTTCCGTATCTTGTGGAAGGGGATCAAGAACCATCACTAGGACCAGGACCTGCACCAACCCATCTCCCAGTAACGGTGGACTGGATTGTCAAGGCTCGAACACAGAGACGGTTTCAGAGGCATGCAACGATGGTGGATGTCCAGGTAAGGTTCTATTCAGCTTGACACCATGTATGTAAGACGAAACACATGTACTGAATCATATGAATATTGACGTACACCATCATTAATCAAGGATTATAAACATACGTTTATCTTTTAGACAATGACGCGAAAAATATGTTGTTACAGTGAACGGAAACTGGAGTGAATGGGTGGAAACTTCAACTGCGTGTTCCGTATCTTGTGGAAGGGGATCAAGAACCATCACTAGGACCAGGACCTGCACCAACCCACCTCCCAGTAACAGTGGACTGGACTGTCAAGGCTCGAACACAGAGACGGTTTCAGAGGCATGCGACGCTGCTGGCTGTCCAGGTAAGGTTCTATTCAGCTCGAAGTCATCCGTTGAGAGAGTGAATTATGAATAGTTGGTAGCATCTGTGTCATCTGATTATGTGTCATCGAGGCTGGACACAGCTGATGGTGGAAATATATCGGGTCTACCTTGGCACTCCCAACAGGGGAGTACAACAACATCCAAACACACGCTTGTTTGTAATTCAACATTCAGTCTTTCTATATTCAACCTAGCATGTATCTTTAATGTTTAAGGATAGTATTACATCCCTGACCAAAAGTCGTGATCATTAACTTCAGGGATTTTACAAAAGTATATTGTGACGATCTAACCATAACATTTATCCCCAAAGTGAAAGTCATCTATAGTTTAAAATTAACAGATCATGCAAGAACTTATTACTTTCGTGAGCGGTGTGTCTTGTAAGGGGTTAAAAGTGTGGCCATTATCAATCAACGCCAATTAAATTCTCACCTTTTTGAATGTAGCGCTTGTTCCTCAGTTCCAGGTGACCTGTGTGATGGCTGTGTTTATAATAACGGTATCGGGTACATGCCTTACCCCTTGGACTGTTCGAAATACGTACAGTGTTTGGAGAACAATTATTACATCATGCCTTGTTCCCCTGGAACGCTCTGGGATCAGACCCTCCTCAGCTGTCAACTTGCAAGTTCCGTTTCATGCGGTTCCTCATTTCCAGGTAATTTGATGTTCAAGTGCTTGCGCCCCTTAACTGTGTCAGGATCCGCTTACCGTGGATTAGACCCGGTTACGATCCCCACTTTACTGAATATGGAACATCAGAGGCCTGACTCAGTTACGTTCCCCTTACAAAACCCACCCCTTACAAAACCCACCCCTTACAAAACCCACCCGCGCAGTTACACCAAGGTGTCCCTGCAGTTTATTCAGTATCTCACATGCCTGTTACCATATGTGCACGAATCTTGTCCTCTTCTTAGGCCCGTGAAGATCTGGGTTAGAATTGGTTTTCAGGAACCAATGCCTTGCTGAAGAATCTCATGACGATCAGGGGTGTCCGATTTGTCAAGAGTTTACCCTAAAGCAAGGGAGAGTCGTCATGTGGACTTCCTCTTCTATACAAACTTGTTTGGGATGGGTGGGGGTGGGGGTTGGACGGACACTTGAAGATCCGGGTTAGAATATTGATCTTCAGCAACCCATGCTTGTCGTAAGAGGCGACAAACGGGATCGGGTTGTCAGGCTCGCTGACTTGGTTGACACATGTCATCGTTTCCCAATTGCGTAAATTGATGGTGATGATGTTGATCACTGGATTGTCTAGTCCAGACTCGATTATTTACTGACCGCTACCATATAGCTGGAATATTGCTGAGTGTGGCGTTAAACAAAACACAAACAAACAATCAACCTCCTCTTAAAATTACGATAGGCAGTAATCGTGAATGAGAAACGTAATCCATTTGAGGTAGCAAACACAATTTAAGAAATATACTAAATACCTCGACGTAAAGCCATTCTCACCCAAGTCAGATATTCCTGATGTCCACACCATTGTTGTAGCGCCTACAACAGTTGGTTCCATGTGTCGTTGTGACACCGTGGATGTTTCCGTTCCTGGTAAGTATTTCCTCTTGCCAGCTCAGCCAGGAACCTTGGAGTCACATTTGACTCCCAACTAACTATGGAGGCCCACGTCAGCAATATCTCCAGAACTTGCTTTTTCATCCTAAGGAACATCAGTTGTATCAGAAAACACCTTACCACCAGTGCTACTATAACCCTCATTATCTCTCTCGTCATCTCACGTCTTGATTACTGTAACTGCCTCTTGATTAACGCTCCCAAATCTCTGATCAACAGATTTCAGCATGTTCAAAACACAGCCGCAAGAATTGCATCCCTTACCCCCCAGACAGGCACACACCACTCGTTTACTCAAATCTCTTCATTGGCTTCCTGTTCATTTCCGTATCAAGTTCAAGCTCCTGTCCCTGACCTTCCAATGTATCTCCGGATCAGCATCAGTCTATCTCTGCAACCTTCTTCAGACATACCAGCCTGCTCGAACTCTCAGATCCCAGACCAAGTCTCTCCTTGTTGTCCCAAATACAAACACTCTCCGCTACGGTCACAGATCATTTGCATATGCCGCAGCAACTGAGTGGAATAATCTGCCCCAAGAACTCAAAGACTCTCAAACGTTGTCATCCTTTAAATCCTTACTAGAAACTTTCCTCTTCCGCCAAGCTTTCCCTGACTCTTAATATCAAACCATGTTTGTGCGCTTTGAGCATCCTTATGTTTGGAAATAGCGCTATATAAATGCACTATTATTATTATTATTATTATTATTATTTACAATACATATGGATGTTACTCATTTTGACATCTATCAACATTTCAATATTTTAAAATAAGTGTTATAAGCGGTGGTAGACGAGTGGCGAGTGACTATGCTTTTAGCACTATCCCAGCTTCACACATTGTACCCACGTGGGGAATCGAATCCTTGTCTTCGGCGTGACGAGCGAACGCTTAAACCACTAGGCTACCTCACAGTCCCCCACCCAACCCGAAAGAGAGATATATAAAACAAAAGAGTTTCCCCAGACTGAGTAGCTTTTCTAAAAGCGGCATCAAACTAAACACACTCACTCACTCAGTGTGGTCTTTCTTCAGCTATATTTCTGAAGATTCGCTTCCGGAGAAATGATACTCAGTCCGTGGAAAATATTTCTTTTGGTTTATAGTTTTCGCCTTCCCTCTTTCTGGCTGGGTGAGTTTGGCCTGAGGTTACATAATGATATGGATTGTCTCAGGGTGTGCCACGTTCAGACTATAATGATGAACAGCGTGTCGGTGAGGAAGCCACTCTGATGTAGTCTTTCACGTTACAGAGACTACAACAACAACGACAACAACAACAACAGCAGCAGCACCACCACCTACTTCCAAGTGTAGGGAGGTCGCCGGAAACAAGGCTCGTTACGACGAGTTGGTGAGTGGTCACGGTTGGGTGAACAGACTCTGTCCTCCGGGAACCGAGTTCCGTCTTCCGTGTGATTGTGTACTGGCCAAAGTCACTGTAGCACCTGTTGTCCCAACTACACCTGTGCCAGGTGAGTCAATCTGAGAAAACTATTTTCTACAAATATTAAAATCACTCCAGGCAACAACTCACAGTAACTAGTTGAACATGATCACGTGTTCAAGTCCACTATAGTTTGTGTTTATTAAGTTGTCGACTTGTCGAAACCAACCAGTATGACGTCAAAATGCTTTAAATTACCAGTAAACCTGTTAAGTCAACGAATGCAAATTAAGGTATGACATTATCATTTCAAACCCGAATACAGGACAAACACTAGTATATTATGGTATTGCATTACAGCTAATCCGGTGTGCCAACCGGAAGTGTACCTCCCTTGCGACAATGACCTCGAAGACCACTCCGGAAACCACATCCACATACAGAACGAGGGCGTCAACATCACCGACGGCGTTGCCGTCTTCACTCGCGACTCCGGCCTCCGAATTCTGCGTTTCTCCAACGTTGACTTCGGCAGCACCCTTGTAATATCCTTCTTACTTCGGAGGGGTGGACAGAGCAAAAGAGCACAGGCTATCGTCAGCAACGCAGACTGTGGTCGACAGGGGAGCATCTACATCACACAGACATCGTCGACGGTTCAGTTCATTGTATTGAACAAATATACCCAAAAATGTAACATCACGCTGCCATACCAAGTAAGTACACTGCGTTCTTACATTGTAGTAGGTTTTGTTTTACGCCGATTTTAGCATTCTACTATTGTTCAAGGCGGCGTTAAAATCTAAATGTAAAATTGTTCTTTGATTGTGATGGAATGGTATTGTCCTCTTCCAGTTTGTCGCGGGTCCCAGGGGCCGGTCAATGACTGCCTGCAGTCTGACCGTTGACGGGGGTAACATGACAGCCACAGTTGGTGCCAAGACGAGAACCATTTCCTGTCCAGGTAAACTATTTCAATCACAGACAAACCACCAATGTTTCTTATATGTCGATTTCCTTACTGAAAAAGAAGCAACCCAGTAAATCTGAAGCATTCAGTGTGAAACAAAAATGAAAGAAAATAAGAATTAAAAATATAATAAATGTTTTCCAATCAATAATTGTATTATATGATTAAGTAGATTTATCAGAACATACATACTGCTACAAAGTAATTAAAATGCAGTGCAGAATATAATGACTGTGGTAAAACTCCGTGATGATAAGAAACATTGTAATTATCTAATGATCACTTTGTTTTTTGGTCCAGGTGACATTGCCAGGAGTCAGTGCGCCATGCAGGTGGGACGGGGGACAGGCTATGATGACTTTACAGGTGAACTAGACGAGGTGAGGATACAGTCGGCAGCTTGTTTCTTTCACGCAAGGGGCGGTGGGGTAGCCTGGTGCTTAAAGCGATCGCTCGTCACGCCGAAGGCCCGGGTTCGATTCCCCACATGGGGACAATGTGTGAAGTCCATTTCTGGTGTCTTCCGCCGTGATATTTCAGCTGCCCCCCCAAACGTGATATTGCTAGAATGTTGCAAAAGCGGCGTAAACCCAACTCGCTCACTCTTTTCGTAAAGCTCTCAAACAATTTCTTATTCCACACATTAACTTTTAGGGCCGCTTCACAAACCATCCTGGTTGATACTACGCCATAAAATCACTGTACGTCGCCAACAAGCTGGGGCTTACTGGAGGCGTTACTACTTCATATACCATCTCATTGAAACCAGCATGGCAAGTCGTATATTGGGGGGAGTTGTAGGGTAGCCTAATCTTTAAAGCATTCGCTCGTCATACCAAAGACCCGGGTTCCATTCTCCACATGTGTTTACTGTGTGAAGCCCATTTATTATTATTATTTATTATTATTATTGGATATTTATATAGCGCACATATCCACGCAACTAGTGCTAGTTTGAAAAAAAAATACCAGCGCCTTGAGCATGCACCAGTTGCGTGGATATGTGCGCTATATAAATATACTATAATAATAATAATAATGCTCAAGGCGCTGGTAATTTTTCCCTCGATCATTGGATGTCAATCTCAGCGGCACATCGTATTATCAATCTCAACCCTCTGGGGAGTATACAACTCTTGCTGCCACTAGGCGCACCGAGTTATTGTTGCTTTCTCATCCTAACGAGGTACCCATTCACAGCTGGGTGGACTGGGACACATAGTCACAGTACTTTGTCCAAGTTTACTGCACGTTGCTGTACCCGCAACTAGGTGTTTGTACGTATTCATGTGGCCACCATCTGGTCATATACCAACGGATTCGTGGATTCTTTTAATTGCGCAGGGCTGTGTACTGTACACTGGGGGTTGTGACAACACTGAAAGAGTCTTCACACAAAGTTGACTCTAAGGTTTTCACAGGTCACAGGTGGGCTCGATCCCGGCTCCTCAATCTCGCTGGATCATAAGCCTGGCGCCTTAGCCAGCTCGCCCACCGCGACCCGCATTTCTGGTGATATTGCTGGATTATTGCTAAAAGCGGCGCATACTCACTTATGCATTGGTAACAGACACCACAAATAGAATAGCTGGAGAACGTGTTTTCTGAGTTGATCAAATGACATCTCCTAGGAGAGTGCAAGTCTAATGGCAGTACCGTGTTCAAAGATGTACATTTTTCACTGAAAACTAATGAAGAGTGATTTTAGTGATAAATAGAATCTCACCCTCGTGTCTTCTGATATCAAATATATCAACACTCGTTGATAAAAATAAACAATATCCTCGGTTATTTGTAACTTTATCAACTTGTAGTGATATATTTGATATCAAAAGACACTCGGGTGAGATTCTTTATATATTTTTGATAATTGTGGTTTGATCTCGCTTTTTCCATTCCGACATACAATTGATGAGTAGGTAGACCCCTTGACCCTCCGTTTGACAGACATAAAAATATCTTCACAAAACAGTCGATGATAGGAATAGAAGCGTAAAAAATAGTACCCATTTGTAGTTGTTGTTGTAGTAGTGAAGTAGGAGACGTTGTAGTAGTAGTAGTAGTAGTAGTAGTAGTAGTAGTAGTAGTAGTAGTAGTAGTAGTAGTAGTAGTAGTAGCAGCAGCAGCAGTGAGGTGAGGTGAGGTGAGGTGAAATTGGGTTTAATGTCGTGCTTGAGAATATTTCGCTCATATGACGACGTGCATGCGTGTGGTCCTGTGCTCAAAGCTCAGGTCACAAATCGGTGAAGTTAAGCAGCGTCGAGCTCGGAGAGTCCTTGGATGGGTGACCATGTTTGGCAGTTTGACTCCTGAGAGTTTCTAGGACTTGAGTCCTGCCCCACAACGAAGCACAAGTGACACATGTGGTCTCACCTTAGGCAAGTGAGTTTGTTCAAAATTGTCTCTGTTCACCCAGCAGGAAAATGGGTACCCGGTTGAAAAAGTCATATGACTATAACCTTCTAGCGCCTAACAGGCAGCTTGGGTTATCCGGGGTAATAATGTGCTGTGCCTTGATTGTTAGCGCTATCAGCATATCTAGTGTGGAGTTTGGCGCTATATAAATGGACACATTATTATTATTATGATGATGATGATGATGATGATGATGATGATGTATGTGCGGCTGCTTGTACTAGCCCAGACTGAAGCTGGTTATATAGTGCTAGCCCACAGAGATACCATACCGCAGTGAAGCATGAATGCCCCACTCAGACACATTATACTGACCCCGAGCCGACCAGTCCTTGTTGTACCCATTAATGCCGAGCACCAGGCAGGGACCAACAAGTACCATATTTTAACGTCTTTTGGTATGACGCGGTCGGGGATCGAACCCGCGACCTTCCACTCTCCGGGCGGACGCTCTAACCACTACACCACGGAGGCGCAGTACGAGACGTAGTGGTAGTAGAAGTAGCAGCAGTAGTAGTAGTATTAGTAGTAGTAGTAGTAGTAGGTAGTAGTAGTAGTAGTAGTAGTAGTGGTGGTAGTAGTAGTAGTAGTAGTAGTAGTAGTAGTAGTAGTAGCAGCAGCAGTAGTAGTAGCAGTAGTGGTGGTGGTAGTATTAGTAGTTGTAGTAGTAGTAGTAGTGGTAGTAGTAGTAGTAGTAGTAGCAGTAGTAGTATTGGTAGTAGTAGTAGTGGTGGTAGTAGTAGTAGTAGTTGTAGTAGTTGTAGTAGTAGTAGTAGTATTGGTAGTAGTAGTAGTAGTAGTAGTAGTGGTGGTAGTATTAGTAGCAGCAGCAGCAGCAGTAGTAGTAGTGGTGGTGGTGGTGGTGGTGGTAGTAGTAGTAGTAGTAGCAGCAGCAGTAGTAGTAGTAGTAGTAGTAGTAGTAGTAGTAGTAGTAGTAGTAGTAGTAGTAACGGCAGCTGCAGTAGTAGTAGTAACAGCAGCAGCAGTAGTAACAGAAGTGGTAGTGGCAGCAGTAGTAGCAGTAGTAGTTAGAGGAGGGAGAGTACGGGGATAGGACCAGTAACTACAGTTGCCACCCTGAAACACATAAACACACTAATATACAATGAAAGATACATCATTCACTAGACAGTGTATATGTACATACGCCTGGCTGTATAATCCACTAGATTATATGTTCTCTTTCTTCACAGTTCACCGTGTCCATGTGCCGCTCTGATATCGTGCTGACCTAGTTGCGACACTTCGACACTTCAACATTTCGACACTTCAGCATTTCGAACCCAACGCGCTTTCAACACAAGCTTGCCAGAAATAGCCTTTATTACAAGCATTTTTATATAAGTAAAAAATAAATTATGAAATATGAGTGTGTGTGAAACTCCAGGAACCTTTTGTATTGAGGTTATACCATTTACTCCGGATGTGACGATAATGGTTCCCTCGAAGGATGTGACTGAGTGGTCGGTTCTGTGAATGTGATCTGTGAAAGATGCTGATTATGATGTATTTGATCAATAAAATGCTCTGCAAATATGCTTGTGTCTTTGGAATGTTCTCGAGCACGCACGCACGCACAAACACACACAGACACACAAAGAAAAACCCCACAAAAGACAACACACACACAAGACAACAAACGCACAGACATACATTACATGATTTAAGTAAAAGATACTGATTATGATGTAATTGATCAATAAAGTGTTATGCAAATAAATGTGTCGTTGAAATGTACTCTTTCTCTTTCTCTTTCTCTTTCTCTCTCTCTCTCTCTCTCTCTCTCTCTCTCTCTCTCTCTCTCTCACTCACTCTCTCACTCTCTCACTCTCACACACACACACTCACACTCACACTCACACTCTCACACATTTGAAGCTGAACGTCTATAGGGCGCTCTTGTTGATCGTTCACTCATTTGTCCGTGACCCAACGATTCGGTATATACAGTATTCAGTATTACCTCGGATAACACAGAAGAACGGCCATGGGTGTACATAGTGCTCAGCATCGGTGTGGGTCATTGGAAACGAAACGTCCCGCAAGGGAAGCAAGTTCAAGCAACTCTACATGATAAGGATCAACCACAGTTCTGGCACTCGGCCTCTTAACGAGAGCAGTCTGCGATGAACGGCCGCTGTGGCACCCCATATGGTCCTGTGGCACTCTCCAGATGTATGGACAGTGGATAGATGTTATTTTATTTTATTTTTATTATTATAGGATATTTATATAGCGCACATATCCACACGCTCAAGGCGATGGTATTTGGATGTCAATCTCAACGGCACATCGTATTAGCAATCTCAACTCATTGGGGAGTATACAACTGTTGCAGCCACTAGGCGCACCGAGTTATTGTGGCTTTCTCATCCTAACGAGGTACCCATTCACAGCTGGGTGGACTGGGACACATAGTCACAGTACTTTGTCCAAGTTCGCTGCACGTTGCTGTACCCGCAACTAGGTGTTTGCACGTATTCACGTGGCCACCATCTGGTCATATACCAACGGATTCGTGGGTTCTTTAAAGTGCACAGGGTTGTCAGGGACACATGAGGATAGATGAAGAATGAGGACTAGATGCATAGACACATGAGGATAGACGTATGGACGCAGGAGGATAGATGTATGGACACATGAGGATAGGTGTATGGACGCATGAGGATAGGTGTATGGACACATGAGGATAGGTGTATGGACACATGAGGATAGGTGTATGGACACATGAGGATAGGTGTATGGACGCATGAGGATAGACGTATGGACGCATGAGGATAGGTGTATGGACGCATGAGGATAGGTGTATGGACGCATGAGGATAGGTGTATGGACGCATGAGGATAGGTGTATGGACGCATGAGGATAGATGTATGGACGCATGAGGATAGGTGTATGGACGCATGAGGATAGGTGTATGGACGCATGAGGATAGACGTATGGACGCATGAGGATAGGTGTATGGACGCATGAGGATAGGTGTATGGACGCATGAGGATAGGTGTATGGACACATGAGGATAGGTGTATGGACGCATGAGGATAGGTGTATGGACGCATGAGGATAGGTGTATGGACGCATGAGGATAGACGTATGGACGCATGAGGATAGGTGTATGGACGCATGAGGATAGGTGTATGGACGCATGAGGATAGACGTATGGACGCATGAGGATAGGTGTATGGACGCATGAGGATAGACGTATGGACGCATGAGGATAGGTGTATGGACGCATGAGGATAGACGTATGGACGCATGAGGATAGGTGTATGGACGCATGAGGATAGACGTATGGACGCATGAGGATAGGTGTATGGACGCATGAGGATAGGTGTATGGACGCATGAGGATAGGTGTATGGACGCATGAGGATAGACGTATGGACGCATGAGGATAGACGTATGGACGCATGAGGATAGGTGTATGGACGCATGAGGATAGACGTATGGACGCATGAGGATAGGTGTATGGACGCATGAGGATAGATATATGGATGTATGTGGATAGATTCTCGACCTATCAGGATAGTTGTATAAAAACACCAATAAGCAGATGAGAATAAATGTTTACCTATTAAAAAGTTGGTTTCGCCCAACATTCTTCCCTGGTCCCCATGTGGAATCTCGTTACAATCAATACAGAAGAGTCTTCTCCATCATTTATATGACGATCACAGATAACGCCATTCTACGTGAACACATAGAACTGCCTTCAAGGGTCAGAATACACTGACGTCATCACCATCTTGTTTCGAACGTTCAAGCAAAACGCCCTGGTCGAGGACACTATGGCATGTTTGTATCCATGACTACACTACTAATGTCAGTACCCAGAAGGCTGAATCAGTTTCGATGTGAACGATGTATGTTGACTGTCATATCTTCTGTAGCGATGTGAGACCGAAGACACAGTCGTGTGTGGCGGAGTCATAGGTGCCTTCAGTCTCACGACGAGCTTCATCGTGAGGGTCAACTGCCGCGTAATCTACTTCACGACCGCTACCGTCAGTACCAGAGTACGTCTACTGGACGCTCAGTTTCTCGGACTACCAGTTCTAAGTCTTCATTCATACGGTCGGTTTCATCTGTTCCACGAACATCAAGTAACACTTTATGTCTTAGATAGCTTCCACCAAGATTAAAGTACAGAATCATATTACCACATTCACAGGTTTCACCATTCACTTGCCCTGAGAATCGCTTCCATCACCATGTACGTCCGTAATGAGACCAAACATCCAGTGGGCTTCAGTGTTTCAAGATTCGTCAACCTCAGAATCGCTATCACGTGTGTTGGCCTGTTATGCTACTATCAGTGTGTATCACAAAGACTTTCGCGTCCAAAACGAGTACCAGTCAGTTCCAGATATAGCCCAATGGCGTGCCTAGCCCAATGCTTTCTCCGAAAGGGATGCAAATATGCCACAAAATCGAAACTGTGCCGCATTTTTGAACATGTCCCTCGCAATCCCTCGCCCAAGATATGGAGTGCCTGTGCTGACATAGCCTTCCCAAGGCAAATCCTACCGAGTGTAAGTATACTTGCATGTTTTGGACAGCAGTGTTGTACCTCACAAATTGAATGGGGAGCTTTAATACATATATTGTCACATACCTGACAGGTTATGTTTTAACTGAACATAAACTAACTCATTTCTTTTAGAAAATGGCTGGAGCATGCGCAGACCATCACTGTGGGAAGCTGGAATATTGCCAGCCGAAGACGTCGGGAGGATATACGTGTGTGTCAGGTAGGGAGGATATATGTGTTTGTTTCAGGTTTGGATGATGTATAAGTGTGTGTGTCAGGTAGGGAGGATGTGTGTGTGTGTGTGTGTGTGTGTGTGTGTGTGTGTGTGTGTGTGTGTGTGTGTGTGTGTGTGTGTGTAGGTGTGTGTGGTGTGTGTGTGTGTGTGTGTGTGTGTGTGGTGTCAGGTCCAGGGTGGTGTGTGTGTGTGTGTCAGGTGGGAGGGTGTGTGTGTGTGTCAGGTGGTGTAGATGTGGTGGAGAATTGGGATGTGTGTGTGTGTGTGTGTGTGTGTGTGTGTGTCAGGTGGGAGGTGTGTGTGTGTGTGTGTGTGTGTGTGTGTGTGTCAGGTGGGGAGGATGTGTGTGTGTGTCAGTGTTGGAGGATGTGTGTGATGTGTGTGTGTGTGTGTGTGTGTGTCCAGGTGTGTGAGGGTGTGTGTGTGTGTGTGCCAGGTGGGAGGAGTGTGTGTGTGTCAGGTGGGGAGTATGTGTGTGTGTGTGTGTGTGTGTCAGGTGGGGAGGATGTGTGTGTGTGTGTGTGTCAGGTGTGAGTGTGTGTGTGTGGATGTGTGTGTGTCAGGTAGGGATGTGTGTGTGGATGTAGAGGACGTATGTGTGTGTGGGAGGGAGTGTGTGTGCCAGGTGTGGTGCCAGGTGAGATATATGTGTGTGTGTGTGTCAGGTGGGGAGGATGTGTGTGTGTGTGTGTGTGTGTGTGTGTGTGTCAGGTTGGAGGATGTGTGTGTCAGGTGGGAAGTTGTGTGTGTGTGTGTGTGTGTGTGTGTGTCCAGGTGGGGTGTGTGTGTGTGTGTCAGTGTGTGTCCAGGTGGGAGGAGGTGTGTGTGTGTGTGTCAAGTGTGTGTGTGTGTCAGGTGGGGAGGATGTGTGTGTGTGTGTGTCAGGTGGGGAGGATGTGTGTGTGTGTGTGTGTGTGTGTGTGTGTCTCCAGCATTGACAGGAGAGGATAATGTGTATGTGTGTGTGTGTGTGTGGAGAGGATGTGTGTGTGTGTGTGTGTGTGTGTGTGTGTCAGGTGGGGAGGACGCAAGTGTGTGTGTGTCAGGTGGGAGGGCGTAAGTGTGTGTGTCAGGTGGGGAGGGCGTAAGTGTGTGTGTGTCAGGTGGAGAGAGGGTGTGTATCAGTGTGCCAGGTGTGGTGTCTAAGGTGTGGAGGACGTAAAGTGTGTGTGTCAGGTGGGGAGGCGTAGGTGTGTGTGTCAGGTTAAGTATGTGTCAGGTGTGGAGGGGAGGTGCCGTAGGGCGTGTGTGTGTGTGTGTGTGCCAGGTGTACCAGGGGAGGGCGTAAGTGTATTTATTGCCAAGTGTGTGTGTGCCAGGTGTGGGAGCGGCATGGAGGAGTGTGTGTGCCAGGTGTGGAGGGGTATGTGTGTGTCCCAGGTGTGGAGGGCGTAATGTGTGTGTGCCAGGTGTGGAGGGCGTATGTGTGTGTGCCAGGTGGGGAGGGCGTATGTGTGTGTGCCAGGTGTGGGAGGGCGTAAGTGTGTGTTCCAGGTGGGGAATTGAATTTAATTGAAAGTCGAACTGAGACATTACATCCGTCGAAAAGCATAAACGTAATATTTCCACCAATGATGTTAGCCGACTGAAGCAACTGCAAACCAAGAAACGGGGTGCTACGGAGTAGTTTAC